TATTTATACTTAGAAACAAAACCGGTTGTTGTATTCTGGGGTCTTATTTTGCATACGGATATCATTACTGCTTTCTAGAGTTACATTTCTAATGCATCAGCATAAATAAAAGAATTAAAAACATGTAAACAGATACAGAATTTATACTACCCTTATACAATGTACGTCATTATTTTTTCCTGAAAATTTTGGGCCAAAAGTGCACATTATACACGGCAAAACACGGCATCACTGTTGTTTTGCGCAGTGGGTATTTATTTGGGTTACTTGTGTACTTACCGGTTCCTTCCCTATAGTCCTTCTTACGTGTCACCGTTTCCTCCTGGGAACTGTTTCCTTGTGCCTAAAATACATCCTTTGATCTTTATATAGTCAAGGTCTTTTGAAGTTAAAAGTTCTTAACTTTTTGTTTGTCCGAGTCTTTATTTTATCCCTTTTCCTGAAAGATTTTTTTTTGCAGGATACCCCATTCTAAGTTGACAGAGATTTCCTATGTGCTTGGCAGGTGTCCTCTCAATTTTTGGCACCTGTAACGGCCGAGGCGTCATCCGGAGGTCTTGCTGCTCTTCCTCGGGCGGGACTCTGCTTTCTTGGTGTGTGGCGTCCTGAAGTTTCACGGTGGCCCGACTTCTTCTGATTTGGTCAGCCTGTAAACCGGTACCTTTCATCAGCCACTGTCCTTTCAAATATTCAAATGCAGGCATACCTCAAAGAGACTCTGGGTTCAGTTCCAGACCGCGGCAATAACGCAAATACTGCGATCGAGAGAGCTGTAGGCATTTTCTGGCTTTCCAGTGCTCACACAAGTCGCGCTTCTACGGCACTGCAGCCTGTTACGTGTGCAATAGCACCACCGTTTTCGGCCATGTATAATGCTCATTTTTTCTGCCCAAATTTTTGAGAGAAAAATAAGGGTGTGAACTATATGTGGCTATAATGATTACATACCGTGGATAATAATAATAATCCGTGTATAATGTGCACAAAGCTGTGGGTGCGCGCTCTACACGGCAAAATACAGTATGTCTAGTAATGCAATGTATACACCTTAATGGAAAACACTTTATTGCTAAAGATGCTAACAGTCATCTGAGGCGCCAGTGAGTCATGCTCTTTTTACTGATGGGGGGGCCTTCCGTCTGTAAAAATAAAACGCGGTCTCTGAGAAGCACCGTAGAACGAGAGGCGCCTGTAGACCATCTCACGCTGTCCCTCCTGTATCTCGTACCGACAGCTTCATAGTCTCCGCCTTCACGTTGCGCGGCAGGTACCCTTGGTCATGACTTCGGACTCGCCCTGTCAGTGCCGGCGACTTCTACCTGTCACCATGGCAAGGCCACAGCAACCAAACACTCGGCCAGTCACCCAATCGGAATGTTGCTGTAAAGTGTTGTTTTAGAGGAGATGACCGCCGAGACTTGCAGGCGTTGAGTAAAGCAGGTGACCCGCCGCGATGTGGGTGGGCCTCGCCCAGTCAGCTGATGGGCCTCCGAACAGAAAGCTTGAGTGCTTCTGAGGAGGAGAGGATTTCGCCTTGAGGCTGCTTTGGACTCCACCGGAGTAGCAACTCCTGTCTGTCAGTATTCCCTACATGTTTTGGACTCGGCAGCCTGCGCAGTGGTGTGCGCTGGTTCCCTAAAGTCAAATTCTCTTTCTCTCTACACACACGCACACGCACACACCCCTTGCTGGTCCCGTTTCTGTGGAGACCCTGGCTAATCCACTCCCACTTCGCGCCAGGTTACCTTTGCTCTCTGCAGCCGCGTCTCATCTGCTGTGAAGCCCATTCCCTGAATTTTAAATTTCAATGGCTGTACTTTCCATTCCGAGGGCTCTGTTTGCCCCTCCTCCAAAAATGTCAGTCTTTCTCAGCGAGCAGTGGATTGTAATTGTTGCCGATTATGCTCTCCCTCCCTGGTGAGAGGGTTACCCGGCCCTCCCGCTGCCGAGCTGCGGCCCCCTCCCTGGGAGCAGGACGCGCCCCACCCCACTCACACTGGGCTTCTCCGTGTCTTCGGCCAGAAAAGCAGAAGCAACGTGCTCTGTGTCCCAGCAGAAGCTTCAAGAACAGTTGCGGGGGTTGCATTTCATTCCCCATTTGGCAGGTCCTTCAGCCCGGATTCTAGAATGAAGAAGTCACTGAGGTTAGGACAGAACCAGAGCCGACCTCCAGCCCCTCATAAAATGAGTAGGAAACAAGCCTTTGTCTGAGAAGCCACGGAGATCTGGGTTCCTGTGCTACCACCACGACGCTGAACAGGCCGGCCTCGCTGCTCCGCAGGCGTTGGCAGCGTGGCCTCCGCGACTTTAACGGCGCTCGGCGTGCCGTGGGCTCTCCCACGGTTTCTGTCAGCATCTGAGGTCTTCGCCGACCTGGCTTAGCGGCCTGTGGCTCCTGCTGGCTCTTGCTCCCTTCCGGGTTCTGTGACTGCCAACGGCTAACCCCGAACTTTTATTCGACCACCCAGATAGTGTGACCTGGGGCTGCAAACCTCCTCTTTGAGAAAAATTCTCAGAAAAGACCTATTTAGCCTCTTCACTCAGAAAATAAAACAAACCAAAAAGGTTTTCTCCAGTCCCTGGCAGGGGTGTGGAGCAGGCTGGAGCATGACCCCACAGGTACCAGGCACCCGTGGACGCGACCTCACTTGAAGAAAGGGTCTTGGCAGACGTGACGAAATTAAGGAGCCCAAGGCTGGAGATTGTCCTGGACTATCTGGGGGGCCGGGGGAGGGCCTGAAAATCAGCCACAGGTGCCCTCATCAGAGAGAGGCGGAAACCAGAAGCAGAGAGAGAGAGGAGACCAGACGCAGACTGGGGACAGCCACGGGGAGACGGAGGCAGAGGCCTGCGGAGCGGGGAGGCATTTGAAGGAAGCCAGGAGTGACCGTCTCCCCACACGTCTGAAACTCCTTGGACAATACAGCCTCTTGATACTGACTTGGGACTTCCGGCCTCCGGGACTGCGAGGCGACGCGTTGCTGTTGTTTGAAGTCACCCAGGCTCTGCTCCTCCGTCGCGGCGGCCGCAGGACGCTAATACCAGGGCAGGGTGGGAGTCGTTGGCTCCCGGCTCCCCTTCACCCAGAGGCGGGGCTCCCCGGGGCTTCACACTTAGGGGAGGCCTCCGTGAGACTCTGCCCTGGGTGAGTCCTGAGCTTCGTCTCCTGTCCCCTGGGCCCTTGGGCTGAAATCTACAGGGTTTGTCAAATGCTATCAAGGGAAAAGGGAGCTCTTGACCGGCTTGTCTAGGGACAGGCCGCTGAACATTCCTTCCTTCCTCGTCAGGACACACGTGGGCCATCGCTTGGCAGACATCACGTCAGCATTTTAGTTGACGAGAGTCGATTTCATCAGAGGGTCAGCCACGAGGGGAGCAGTGAACCAGCGGGAGGGCCTCTTTGGAGAACTAAACAAATGTCCGACAGGGTTGGGGTGTGTGCGCGCAGGGCGGAGGTGAATGGGGTCCTTGGTCCCCGAGAGGCCTCCGGTTCCCCCCGCAACACAAAACCCCGGCCGGCGTCCTCCCCCGCGGGGAGGGACGGGGCTCAGCCGCCAGCCGCCGCCCAGCAGGACCCACGCCCTTCTCTCCCCTGGTCGCCCCCAGGGTTGCCTGTTCTCAGTGGAAGCTGTTGCCCTGCGCCCACCCCGCCCGCCCTCCCGGCAGCCATCTCAGGCTTCACCTGTTGCCCCCGGAGCCCGTCAGGATGCCCGCCCCGGGGGAGGTGCTCGGTCGGCCCTGCTGCTAGGGAACCACACAGACGATGCATCCTTGCTGTCCTGCTCCTGTGCCGACCCGGTTGGGTCTCAGGACTGGGGGGACCCTCCTCGCGACCTCGCCCTCGCAGGCCCGCTCAGGGTCTTAGCTGCAAACTCTGGGAACCGACCGGCCGATCGAAGCGCGGGCGTTTCTCAGCACCATGTTGGGGAGCCCGCAGACTCTCTGGGACCGTTGCGGGGTGTCGCCGCTGCGGGCGCTGGTCCCCGGCTGCCGGGCGCTGCTCCTGGAACCCCTGTCTGTGTTGCTGTCGCCCTGTCTCCTAACTCGACGCTGGGCCGGAGCCGGGGCTCTGTGCCGACAGCTCAGCAGAGAGGGTGTGGGGACGGGGCTGCGGGGGGTAGTGGCGGGGGGTGTCCCCACTGGCAAGGCAGGCAATCCTTAGAGGAAGGGGACGCAGGCTTGAGTCGGCAAAAAGAACGCCGCGGGTCCACGGAGGGTGCAGGAGAGCTCGGGGGGCATCTTCTCTCCTGCCTGAGCCCGACGCGTGCACAGGCCCGTTGCTCATCACAGGAGGCGCCGCACGGAGGGACAGCACCGGTCTCCCCCGGCCGGGCCTCAGACTGGCCCCAACCAGAGGAGAGGACATGAGAACCGAAGACTCGGCGGTTACGCCGTCACGCTTTGTTAGTGAAGTGATTTTAAAATCCCGCCAACTGTAAAAGGAACACAAGGAAGGTCCGCTAACTTCTGATCTTCCCCCCATGAGGGTTCATTTTAAAAACGTCGTTATGTCAAGAAGGGTTTTTCCTATTTGGGGGGGCCTTTGACACATCGGAGCGACGGAGCGACCTGGCAGAGAAAGGGCGCGGGCACGTCTGTGAGCTACAGACGCGCCCGCGAGGCTCGGGTGGAGGTAAGCAGGGCTTTCTGGAGCGAGTGCTGGGCGTGGGCACCCACTGGGAGTGTTCAGGGGGGATGCGAACCCCAGGTATTTCCATCCCCACGTCCCTCCGGGGGAGGAAACGGACTAGTCCCAGGCTGCTGACAGCCTGAGGTGGGGTTCAAAGCCCAGGGCCCTGCTGTTCCCCGACCTGCCTACACCGGGGGCTCCCAGGTGCGGCAGGCCCTAGCCCTGCCCCGGCTCCTGGCTGACGGCAGGAAGGGACTACGGGACTCCCACTGAGCGAATGCAGGTCAACAAGGGCCTGTGAGAGCCTCATTCAGTGTCGGGCAGCCAGCACATGTCGCCTCACGAGCACAGACCAGACAATGAAACTTCTTAAAATTTTTATTTATTTACTTTTAGAGAGAGGGGGAGGGGGAAAGAGAGGGAGAGAAACATCCATGTGCGGTTGCCTCTTGTGTGCCCCCTGCTGGGGACCTGGCCTTCAACCCAGGCCTGTGCCCTGACTGGGAATCAAACTGGCGACCCGTTGGTTCGCAGGCCGGCGCTCAGCCCACGGAGCCACGCCAGCCAGGGCACAGAGAAGAAAACTCTAATGGCAGCCCAGCCCTGTAGAAAACATGGACAGGTAGAAAAACGAAGCTCTGAGAATGCAAAGCCTGCGCTCTGCACGCGCGGCTTCGCGGACCGCCCGTCGGCAGGCCGGTCGGACGTTAGAGCACCTGTTTTTGCCTCTCATTGTAAGTGTGTCTGTTTCTCACAATTGAAACTTGTTCCTCGTGGGAGTGAGCTGCGAGGCTGAAAACAACAGCCACAGTGGGTGGCTGTTTTTCAACCCCGGAGGCCTTGGGACTGAGCAGCCAGTCCCAAGGTGGAGTCCTGTGGCCAAGCGAGCCTTTGCGGTCCTGCTCTTGGGCTGTTCAGACGTGGTCCCGGGTCCCAGAGTTCCGGACCGGGCCTTGCCGGGGCGCCTGGGCCCTCGGTGGCCGCTCTGGTCGCCTGCAGAGGTGGCAGTGGGACGCAGGGCGTGCCCCTCCTCGGAGACTAGCTGGTGGGCAGGTCCCGTCCCGACGGTGGCCTGAGGCTGCCGCTGTCCCCGGGATCCTGCTGCTTGCCGCTTTCAGGGACCTCCGTGACGACACTCAGTTTGTCAAAAACCTCATTCTCGTCTGAGAGCGGGAAGGAGGCAAAGAGAAGCCTGTTGCGATGAGGCTGGCTCAAAAACTGCAGGAGAAAAAAAGGAAGTGAATCATTACGCTTCCCCACGCCTTGCCCTGGGCTCACAAAGGTTTTCTATAGAGCTCCTGGCTGGAAACCCTTGTTTTTAAAAAAAGGTGACAAGAACATACGGGAGTTCCTCAAAAAATTAAAAATGGAATGACCATGGGACCCAGCCATCCCCTTTCCGGGGAGCCACGCAGAAGGCCTGAAGGCCAGGTCGCAAAGAGACCCTTGCACACCCACGCTCCCCGCACCATTTGTCACCACAGCCCGGCAGGTGGGCGGACACACTAAGTGTCGCTTGACCACACAACAGGCTGCCACTTAGCCTGAAAGGCAGGGAGCTGACACCTACTACTGTGGGGGTGAAAATGACGCCAAGAGAAACAAGCCAGGTGTGGGAGGGTAAACACTGGGTGACCCTGCTGGTACGGGCCACCCGGAGGCCTGAGAGACAGCGAGAGGGCGGGGCGGGGGCGGGGCGGGCCTGCCCCTCCCCGTGGCGGGCCAGTCAGACAAGGGCAGCGTCCGAGCGCCCTGTCTGCCCCTCTCTGAGCAGTGACGGCACACACGGGGCTCCTGAAAGCCCCGCCGATCGATCGCTCGGTCCCCACCGCTACCCCTGCGGGCCCACGCGGGTCTCAGCCTTCGGGATGAGATGGAGAACCCTTCTTCCCCACTTCAGCCATCCCCTCCAGCCCCTTCCTCCTGGTCCCGCCTCCGGTGGGTCCGACCCTCCGCCCTGGTCTGAGGCAATCACGGGCTCCTTGCCGCCCGCCAGTGGGGACTTGCAGGACGCCCCGCCGGGGGAAGGGGCAAGGATGTCCAGGTCTCTGTTAGGAAAGGACGAGGCTGGGGGCGGGGGGAGGGGCCTCCCCAAAGCCTCAGATCCAGTGGATTTGGAAGAACAGACTAGAAGCTGCTGCTGAGTCTCCTGGGAAATGGGCCAGGCGAGAAGAAAGGGAGCAGCTCGCTGGCTCTCAGGAAAGCGCCCTGGGCCCTGCCTCGCCTGCACACACGCAGCCGCAGCGGCTGGCCGCCCGAGGCACCCGCGCGCCCGGACCGCGCCCGCCTCTTCCGGCCCCAGTGGAACCGTCCTCCACGCCCTGGCTGCCGCAGCCTTGATATTCTGAGCCAGAGGGGGCCCTTTCAGACACCACCTCGAGGAGCCTCACTTGCCAGACCCCGGGCAGCGCATCCCCCACCCTCCCCGGGCCCTTGCCACAGCCCCGCCCTGCTCCCGGGCAGGCCCCGCGGTCCAGCCTGCAGAGCCCTGCAGCCTGGCGGGTGGGCGGTCACACGGGCAGCCCTGGGCTGTGCTGGTCTCCTGGTCTCTGGCTGCGATTTCCTGCCTGACAGGTCTCTTTGATGGTGAACCTCCAAGCAAAATGAGAAGAGCTTTCCTTCCTCTTGGTTCTCCACGTACGAAACACCTTCTGCCCAGGGGAAAGGGCCGCCCCGTGTTTTTCCGGCTGCGAATGCGGCCTCTCACCGTTCACTGCTAGAAGGTTCCTGGCTCACTGTGCGGCCTGCAGTCCTATCGGCATTCTTGTGAGAAGCTTCCAGCCTCTCAGACTCCTGTGCCTGGGGTCATGCGCCCCTGACGCCCCTCAGAGACAGGCGCCCGTCACCCAGCTCCCATGACCGTGGGACCTCACAGGCGCCCAGGCCTGTCTGGCCGGAACCCGCCCTCCCGAGGAGGCTGCGCCTGGGCAGGGGTGTGCGTCTTTCCCGGGGTGGCCTGTGCCAGCTGGCTGGCTGCTGTGGGGACAAGGCCTGACACAGCTTCGTGTCCAAATGGCCACAGGACCAGAGAGGCGGGAAGTGACAAGGCCCTGGCAAGACACGCACATTTCAGAGGGTGGGGACTGGCCCCCCGAAGATTCGGGGCCCCGCGGCGGATTCGGGGTCCTGAGGAGCCGGGCGTGCTGGGCCCTCCTCCCCAGGGAGGGACCCAGTGTCCTGTCTCAGCCCTGCCACAGCCAAGAAGAAAGAACCGTGCAGGGCGGTGTCTGGGTTTGTGGGCGGAGGGTGGTGGAAGGGGCAGCGGCACGTGAGACCGGGGTGTGACCAGGCTCCGGGCAGCAGACGCGGCGGCAGCTTGTGCCCCTGGCCTCCCGCCTGCAACCCCTGGGGAAAGGCCAAGCCCTGGAGGGGCTGCTCCAGGGCTCCCTTGGCACCGGGGTGGCTTCTGGTGGATACGAAGGGGCACCCCAACCTCCTTCAGGAGGGAGGCACTCGCCCCCCGCCCCGGGCGGCTGGAGCTGACGGTCTCCCCAGGAGACCCCGTTGCTTGCAGCCCGTCCTGGGCCAGGCCCACATGGGCTCATGACAAGTGGCTCCCAGGCCGTCGGGCCTCAGCTTGGGATGCCTCCGAAGGGTCACCCCAGCTGCAGAGCCCCCGGGACTGGCGGAGGCCTCGGCCAGGACGGCACTCCAACCCGCCCTGCCCCCACCGCCCTGCTCCCCTCCACCCTCAGAGGGGCTGTTCCCAAGGGCGCTCCCCATGGTGCCTTCCGGATGTGACATCCACTTCAGCGTCTGTGTGGTGGAGAATGAGAGCAAAGGGGGGGGTCCTCTTGGGGCGCCCAGGTTGGAGGGGCAGCCTCAGGAACACACCTCTGCCCTTCCTTCGGGCCAGCTGGGCACAGGCCCAGGGAGCAGCCCAGCGAGCGGACGCGCGTCTTTCTCCAGGAAAACCTGCCGGCCGGGCCGAGGCAGCCCGGGGTTAGCGGGAAAGCTGCACGCGGTCACGGCTCCCCCCACCCCCGGCCCGCGCCACCTACCTCCTTCAGGTGCTGCGGGAGCGAGTTGCCGCGGGAGAGGGCGTGCTTGGTCCGCTTGTAGATGCACCACAGCAGGGCGGAGCAGCCCAGGAGCAGCAGGCAGGCGGCGCACACCGCGGCCACCAGCACGGCGGCCACCACGACCCAGGAGGGGGCTGTGTCTGTAGGGGGGACGCGCATGTCACCTCACGGAACGGGCTGCAGCCTCGCACCGTTCTCACTGCCTGCTGCAGGGCTGTGCAGGGCGGCCCCCAGGAACAGGGCCCGCCTGCTCGTCCCTGCAGGCGCGGGAGGACCCGGCCTTTCAGACAAGCCCCATCCTCTCCTATCTCCCCCGCCCCCCTCCCCGCCCCCCAGTCTGGTTTCTGCCACGACTGCTGGCACACGCACAGAATGATGAGCAAGAGCCCGATCCACTGTCCCCTCTTGGAGGCAGCACGGAGCGGCCCCCGCCCCGGCCCCGCCCGCTGGGGACCTGCCGCTTCTCCCCCGGCTGCAGAGCCCCCCCGCACCCCCACGCCAGGGCGCTGCATCTGAAAGCTGCACGCACCCTCGCCAGGGCCGCCGGCCCAGACCCCTGCACCAGGGACCGCGAGGCCGCCCTGCGGGGCCGCCCGGCACCCCGGAGGGCCTGTCCGGGCAAAGCCGTGGCAGCCGAGGAACTCCCCACTGGCGCTGCCGGCACCGGGGCTGCCGCTCTGCAAGCGTTCACTGTGAAGAGCATGGGCCCCTCCCTCTGCCCCTTTGAGGTGTCGGTGCCCCACACGCAGGAGCGTCGCCCTCGGGGACACCGCCACTTCCTCCGGCACCACCACCTGGCATGTCCCCGTCCCCGCGGCAGGGACGGCTGCAGCCTGACAGGGTGAGCACGCCAGTGGGGGCCACGGGCACCTCCCCCGCAGACACCGCGTGACCCTGTCACTGCCAGTTGTAACCTGCCACCCCCTCCCTCCTCCTTCCTTCCAACAGCCCGTCAGCAAGGACCCCTCCCGACACGCGTGCTGAGCAGATCTGTTTCTGCCGTTTCCGGAGCGCCTGCCCTTGTCGTCAGGCATCAGCCCCGGAGGCCACGCGGCCTGTCCGCCACCCTGGGCTGCCCCTGGCCCTCCCCCAGCCGCCCCGGCCACCCAGGCTCTCTGTCCCACCCCCGCTGCCGGCGGCGCCCTCTGGACCGCGCCCTGAAGCCTTGGGTGCTGAGCAGGGGGGAGGAGGAGCCCTGCCCTTTCAGAGCAAGTCACTCGGGACTGTTTGGGCAGGATGTCAGTTCCGGAGGCGGCAGACGCTCCTGCAGCCCTGTCAGCTGCTGGCACCTGCAGCCCCGCCAGCTCCCCAAATATCTGGTCGGGCGCACACGTTCTGTCCGCCCGCCTTGCTCCCTTGTCCTTGGGGAGCGACCTCCTCCTCTCCCTGGCTCGTGCCCTGGCTGAGTCCAGAGGGGCCCTTGTCCCGGGTCCCCTGTGAATTCCTGTTCCATTCGCCTAGGCCCGGGGTGCTGCTTCCCAGCCCATACTTTCGGTGCAAACACGCGTCTCCTGGTAGACGCAGGGCCGTGTGGCAGGAGGCTGGCCGGAACGGTCCCTGGGCCGCCCCCTGGCGCACGACAGGACTTGGCCTCCGGATCCGACATTCCAGCTCCTGAGGAAGTTCCGGGATCCCACGCGTCCTGCCTGCCCTTCCTCCCGACACTACCGTAGTCCTCCAATTTGGCGGGGCCCCAGAACCCCGCCCCCCCGCCCATGCACTGACGGAACACGGGTCGCCGGGCCACCCCGGCGCTGGGATGCCACTGATGAGCCCGGGAGAGCAGGGCCTGGGCTCCCCATGTCTCCAGCTGGAAAGGCAGCGTCTTACACAGGGACAGCCCACAGGCACACGGGGGCGATGGTGACAAAATCCAAAGGACGCTTTTGTGACGGACCCTGAGGGAGAACAGGGACGAGAGAGGGCACTACTTCACGCGTAGGTCGTGGGAGAGCCTCTCTGTCAGCACCCGCTCTGCAAAGCTCCTGCACCTGTTGGGTCCTGCCGGCCACGCTGCGCATACACCGCCTCTCCGTCCTGTCCGCAGGGACGCGCGCCTTCGCTCCCCCGCGGGGCGGCTTGCGGGGCGGCCTCGCAGCGGGGACAGCCTGGGCTCGGCCCGGCCTGTGCTCCGTCGTCTCCCGGCTGGGCGGCTCTGGGCGGGTCCCCCCACCTCTCTGAACCTCTGTGCAGCCTCTGCAGGTGAGCAGAGCCTTGCGGAGCTCTTACGGAAACGCGCTGTGGGGTCTGAACGAGACACCTGTGCTGAAACCAACCTCAAGTGAAGTCTGGCAAAAGCCCGTCTTCAACGGGTCAGACTTTCCCTTTCCTTTTACATGATGTTCGGATTTCGTCACTGACAGTCCCAAAATATTTGAAAAATTGCTCTTTTTGGTCAAATTGTATGGTTCATGCCACGTTTCACGACATAAACCTTTGGGAATACACAAAAACATGATTTTAATCTGTCAGCATTAATAACGCTTGTTCTGTCTAGCACGGACTCAGGGCTCGCTCCGGGCCGGGTGCCGCTCGGAGCGCCCCCTGCCCCCAGGGTCCGGCAGTGCTCTTCGCCCCTCCCATTTCACAGACGGGGTGCTGAGGGGCGGTTCAGGACTTGCCCCGGGCCATGCTGTTCACCACAGGGCAGGACGGGATGGACGCGGGGACAATGAGGCCGTACTCAGGGCTTTGGGAAAGCCAACGGCAGGTGTTAGCAGAGGCATGATGCCAAGGTCGGGGGTCACAGAGATTCGAGCAGCACAGGGCCCCAGGGACCGGAATTCCCATTCAAGCACAAATGACTCTCAAGAGGAATAAAGTGAGGAAAAAAAAAAAACCAGGCAGAAAGGGTTCCTGGAGACAGCCTGCGGCACACGCGCACAGAAGGCAGGCTTTTGGTACTTCGGGAAGCGGCTGAGAGGCTCCGCCAGCTCACGCTACAGATGGGGGCACAGGCAGGTCCGCTCGGCCACTGACCTCGGGCCTCCGCCTGGCCTGGGGGTGCCAGAGAAAGGAGGGTGACCAGAGAGTCCCCTCCCCAGCGACAGCAAGACCCTTCACTTCCCACGAGGCTGTGCAGTGCCGGGAAACCAGCCAGGGGACCGCAGAGCGGCTCTGACCACATGGCCGGCCGCGCTCCGGGAGGCTCCTAGCCCAGGCAAGTCACGTGTGTGGTGCTTAACAACAAGAGAGGACAGAAAACCAACCAGCAGACAAGAAGATTCTGGAAACGGCAGGCCCGTAAGCTTGGGGCTGCTCTCCAGAAAAACATACAAACATTCCCGAAGGGATAATTAAATGGTCATTTATATACCCTTGCAAGAGATAAGGAAGAAAACTAAAAGTAACATTAGGGCACCAAAAAGAAACTATGTCCAAAATCTGGCTGGTGTGGCTCAGCGGACTGAGGCCCGCCTGTGAGCTGAGAGGGCACCGGTTCAACTGCCGGTCAGGGCACGTGCTTGGGTTGTGGGTCAGGGTCCCAGTTGGGGGCAGGTGAGAGGTGACTGACTGATGTTCCTCTGGCACATGGATGTTTCTCTCTCTCTCCTTCTCCCTCCCTTCCCCTTTCTCTACAAATGAATAAAATCCTAAAAAACAAAACAAAACCCTTTAAAAAAAAGGAAATTTGCTTTAAGTAGCTGCCTTTTCTTTCTTGGATTGGGTTCACTGTCAATAAATGATGGCATCGGATGGGCTGTTTTTGCTAATCCTCCAAAAACATGTTGCGAGATCAGCTATGCTAAGAATGCTGATCTGGAGGGCAGCTTCCCTGGGGAGGAAACACCATCCCGCCAAGCACTGGGGACTGCAGGGCTCTCATCCTGGGAAAGATCCCCAAACACAGGGCCCAGGTGGGCGGTGCTGCACTTTGATACAGGGTGTTGATTTCAGCCCCTGTTTGCCAGAGTCTTTTGCAAGGACGTTCGGGACAATGACACAAAGTAGCTTATGTAACGGAGACCGCATCCAGAAGGATGGGAAGCAGCAAGCAAGCGCAGAGGAAGGCGTGTCCTGGAACAACAGCCGCCTGGACAGGCGGGTAGGGACCCCGAAGCTGCCGCAGCCAATCAGCACAGGAGGCACCGCAGAATCGGGTGAGAAGTCAGCGCAGTGACAGAGCCGACACCCAGGCGGAGCCGGGTGAGCCGCAATGGTGGATCGGTGCGGACACAGCCCCGCAGCGTCCTCCGGCCTGCACAGGGAGGCGGCCGAGGAAGAGGCCGGGCCGGGGTTAGGGCAGGGCCTCCCTCTCCGGAGGGGACTTGCCATCACCTTCCTCTGCATCTCTGCGGCCCCAGCTCCCCGCCCCACCCCCAGAGGCCCCAGCGAGGGAAACCGGCCAGGGGACCCGCCTGCCCTCATCCGTCCACGGCCTGAGCTGGCCGGGCCCCTGAGGAGGTCTTCACATGATTAAAAGGCCTGTTTGTATGTACACATCTGGCCAGGGGTCTATCACCTCGGCTGCGACCGTCCTGTGTCAGCCTGTAACAACCTCAGCATCCAGGCCACTCGCTACCCGCCCCCTCCCTCCCTCCCTCCGTTTTTCCTAAGGAAGGACAAGTGCGGAGGCTCCCCGCTGGCCACTGTGCTGGGGTCCTGGCGCCCCATTTTACGATGACCTTTGACGCGAGCACTGCTCGCTGGAATGACAGGGTTTTGGACCCGCCCCTTCCTGTCATGTGTCTGAAGGACCTGGGGACCGGCAGCCTTTGCTGGTGATCCCAGGTTGGAGGAGACTTGGTTCGGGGACCGAGAGGACAGACTGAGCAGAGTGTGGGCGGGCGCACGGAGGCCCGCCTTAGCGTCCCCGGCGAAGGCGTCCGGCTGTCCCTCCGGTCTGAGTGCGGACGCGCCGCCTCTCCAGGGGGCAGCCAGCCGGCACCAGGCCCGCCGGTGAGGGTTGGCCGGGCGAAGTCTGCGGAGCTGTCCGACACCCCCCCCCCGTCCCCCCCGCCCGGCGCGGGGCCGTGAAGCCACCTGGGGCGCGCGGAGGGGGGCGGCAGGCGGCGTGGCCCGGACTCACCGTCGCTGGCGGTCCGCTCACAGACAGGCTCGCTCCACTCGCCGGCTTTGTTCCGGTCGGGAAGGAACCCTTGGACTCGAATGCAGTAAGTTGTCCACGGCTCCAGATTTCGGAGGACCTCAAAGTCATGCTGACAATCAAGTGGATACTAGAAGACAAAAATAAGAACTTGGTCCCGCAGGGAAGGGACATCGTCATTTCCCACTCCCTCCCCTTTCCAATTATACCCTTCACGTCAGGCTCAAAGAAAGAGGATGAAGGACCCCAGGTCGTTTCAGGGGACCCATTTTAAGGGACGGGCAAGGACTGACCGTGGTCCTCACAGACGGCTTCTTCCTCACATCATTCCCGAGTTTGAATGACAAGCAAACCATCCCACTTCCTTTTGTAAAAAGACAAACCCGCTGCATACGTCGAATTCCCTCCCTTCCCCCTGCAACTTCACATGTTGAAGTCCTAACCTGTGTGCCTCACAGAGTGACTCAGCTGGATACAGGGTCTTCACAGACAATCCGGGGAAGACGTCATTAGGGTGGGTCCCTAAGCCAACACGAGACCGCTGTCCTTATGGAAAGAACTTGGGCATAGACCCTCACACAGGGAGGGTCCCGTGGAATGACAGAGGGAGCCATCGCACTCCCACAGGCCAAGGCGCCGAAGACCACCAGGCCCCGCGGGGAGCGGCGGCCAGGGCTGGGACAGAGGCCCCCGCCTCCACCCTGATCCTGGGGCGACATATTCCGAATTGTGGTCGGGTCGCCCAGTTTGTGGTGTTTTGCTACCCGAGCCGGAGCTCACCGACCTGCCGGTCGGCTACTGTAACTCTCGGTGCGATTTTCCTTCTACGCCAAGAGCGCATTTCTGACCCCGGCGGCCCGGGTCTCCCCTGAATCTCTCCTCCCCTCAGGCACCGGCTGCCCTCCGAGAGCAGCCCCCCTCCCCTGCCCCCCTCCCCTGCAGGGCACACGCCACCTGGTGGGGGCGGGGGCATCCCTGATCCCCTTAGTTTAATGTGAATGTAAGCTATCGCGACGGATGATACATTCCTGAAGAATCCAAAATCGTTTCCGGCAAAATAAAGGGAATTGGGAGTATACGCCACCTGTATTTCCACATGGTTGTAATGTCCCTACGAAAGAGTCCTATGTAAAATTTGTTACAGCAATAGGAGCTTCAACAGAAAGTGGACAGAGACTTTTCCTTACTTTAGCAATTGGTTATTTTTCTTTGGGGGCTGGGTTTGTCGATCTCTCGTCGATATTCCTTTACTGCACGAGACGCTGCACTCATGGAGGGCAAGAGAAGATTATACCAACTGAACACCTGAAGGGTACGGCTGACTTGTAATAATGAGAAAGGAAAACATCCCCCCAAACTCCTGGCTGTCCTTTCCAGAAGCCCGAACCCGCTGAAGCCGTCCAGCGCTGCCCCTGCAAGACGACACGCGGCGGTGGCCGGAGGCGGCGGGCGGGGCGAGGCCCTGCAGAGCCTCCCTTCGCTTCCGGGCGCCTCCGGGTCTGATCTCCCCCTTTCTCCTGCTGGGAAGCGACAGATTTCTAAGAGCCTTTGCTGCCATTCGTTTAGGGACCTCACCGGGCAGGCACCCTCCCGGACACCGTGGCCTTCTAACAGAGACCGCGCCGCCCCGTCCTGTCCGGCTGCGACGGCGGAGCGCCACGGACCGGGCGGCCTAGGACAACAGGAGCTGTTCTCACCGCTCTGGAGGCTGCAAGTCCCAGGCCAGGGTCCGGTAGGGGCCGCTCCCTGCGTCACAGCTGCCTGCTCCCTCACGCACGAGGTCTCTCTCACACACACGGGACTCTCCCTCGTGGGGGCTCACCCGCCCGTTGGCCCGCCCCCCAGGGTCATCGCATGAGGGATGACAGCTCAACACAGGAATTCGGGGTGAGGGACCCGAACGCTCAGCCGGACGGGACAAACAGGTAACCCGATGCCTCTCCTGTGGGCGCGTGCAGGATAAAACGCTAAAGACAGGCCCTTGGGCGGGGGCTGTGGACTCCGGGCCTCCATCAGCGTCCGCCGCGCACCCCTCCGGCGGGGGGACCCCGTCTTACTTTTCGTCTCGGAGCTGAGCAGAGACCTGCGTTTGATGAGGAACCATAAGACACATCGTTCGCATTGCTTTCTGGACACACTTTTCCTGTGGTTGGAACTATGGGCCCAGCGCCCGCTCTGTGAGGAAGGCGGGTATCTCCCATCACCCGGCGGAGCATTTTCTGGGCAGGGGGAGCGGCCCGGAGATTCTGGGGGCCTACGCAGTAAGCACGGAGAGACTGAACTAATTGTCCTAAGACAACACAGGCGGGTGACCCTTTCCTCCCCACACTTGAGAATGAGGTGATAAAAAGCAGCATTTAATGTAGAGGAGATAACATGTAACTTAACTCACACAACATATATGTCAGTTCAGGGCCACAAATGACACCCAGCTCAGAAGCACTACAAGCGAGAGTAAAACATGCCCGAGAATGAACGAAAACAGCCTTCCCACGCCTGCACCGGGAAGGGCACGGGGCCTCACCGGCTGACCACATGCTCAGGCACTGGGCCAAGCTCGTGTTTCCGAGATGCCACCAACCGCCCGGCAAGCCTGTGCGGCAGCCTGCGCGCCCGCTTCATTAATAAATGGGGCCGTCGGCCCTTTTTGCAGGCGAGAGGAAGCTGAGGCCAAGCACAGCGGCCCGGGCAACATTCCGACAGGTCTCTCTGCCCCCCACCCCCGCCTGCACCTGAAAGAGTTGTCCCCTGAAGAGGAGAGCAGTGGGGAAAAGTGGCTCCAACAGGGAAAATGGGACACTGTTCATCCGGCGTCCAGGGGCTGCCTGACCACGGACCCGACTCATTGGGGTGTGTGGGGGCTCAGGGTTCCTGCCGGGGAACTGTCATTCGGCGGATCCCGGGTCCCCCCGCCACCTGCTGAATCAGCTCTGTCTTCTGCAACTTCCTTTCGGGGAAAGGGAAGGGTGAAAGGGACACTAAGCATCTTCCTGGTTCGTGCCCGAGCCGTGACCTTTGTTGGAAGAATAAAATGTGACGTGCTCTCCCTGGGGGAGAATGGGCCCTTCTCCCTGGGAGACCAGCACTGTTAATGTTCAACTTTTGATGTATGGCTGTTCCTTTGGGGAGAACGGGCCTTTTTCCCTGAAAGACCTGGTACTTAACGGAGTCACGCAAAGCCCGTGGCGTGTAGACAGCTTTGTCTAAAAACTGTTTAAGCAGAGCCCCGCCGTGAGACGGTGGAACCCCACCCGAGAGGAGGGCGCATCGCTCGGACCGGAACGCGGCCTCCGGGATCCCCAGCGCCCATGGCGGCTGGTGGCGAGTTCCCGACTGGTGAGGTCTGCTCTCGATTCTTGCTTTCACCTTGCTTTCTCTTAGTAAATATAGTACTCAGTTATTCTTATTTTGATCTGGGGTCTTCATTGTCCGCAAATCCGAACCTCCAAATTAAGTGGCCATGGTCTCGTATGTGCCCCTTAACGGCTCAGAAAGACAGGCCCGCGCACGCGGAACCAGCACCGTGGAGGTGCGCCCTATGCGTAGCCTCAGGCCTGGGAAGCAGGAGTCGGGAACGCTGACCAGCCCTCAGCCGGGAACTTCTGGCTCTCAGAAGACCAGGCCTTAGGCCCTGTGGACCTTAAGGTGCCACCGCCGCCTTGCAAGACCCTGACTACGTGACCTCCTGGCCCCGTCCCCCATGGTCACGGCCTCGGAGCGGCCCTGAGCAGAGGACGGGGAGCTACCCCTGAAATGCGCGCGATGTGCCCAGCTCACCTTCTCATCAGAGCCGTTCTTCCAAAACTGCACCTTGTAAACCCACAAGTTATAAATATTCCTCATGGTCCAGGTTTCGTGCTCCTTCTCAATTCTGGGGGCTAAGAAACGGATGTGCAACGAATTGGCAAGTGCTTCTACTTGCATCGCAGGAGGCCCGATGATGGCTAATGGGAGAACGAGGCAAAAGGACAGTCAGAAACCACATTTTAAAAAGTCAACATTCATTTTTCGTAGCTGCTTAAACCAATGGGTCTGCTGGAGAACCCTGCCCTTCGCCACGCCACACTGACTGACGTGGTCTAGGAGCACCGGGAAATTTTGTTTCTTTAAAAAAAAAAAAATCTGATAACCTTTGATTTTATTAATCATTTTGGTCCATTTACATTTATTGTGATTTCTGGTATATTTGAAATTATTCCAAGTACCTTATTTTGTGTTTTCTGTGGACTGCTCTCCCCCCACCTTTCTTTGCATTAGGTTGAATATCTTTGTTTCCTTTTCTGGGCTGGGAGCTACGGATGGCACCTCTGTGATCGGTTGTGTTTGACACGTACAATGAACCATAGACAAGCGGCGCAAGACTACGCGCTGATCATTCTAGTCTTCTCGTTAACAGCCTGGCCCTACTCGTTCCCACCCTGCAGGCACTGAAGTTACCACATTTCTGTTCCGTTACCTTACTGACTGGCTGTCTATCCTGCCCTGTCCGCCCCGTGACTTCCCCGAGCCCCAGCCCCCTCTGTCACATATTCCCTACACTCCCAGCACGGGTCTGTCCCCTACTTTGAGGGTACTCTGTGCATTCTTGCTCAAGGGTCACCCGGGGGGAGAAACTGAGGTATGAGGGTGGCACCATGGGGGAGTGGAAAACAAAGGGGTACTTACTGTCATCCACAGGACAGAAGGTGAGGTTCACCCAGGTGGAGCGCTCATCTCCGAGCTCCGCCCTGACTCTCAAGACGTGCTCGCCGTACTTGGAGAGGACGGAGAAGTCACACTCTGTCAGGGCGGTGCTGGTGCACACATTCTGGAACTTCCTGTAACTGCAAGGCCAGCAAAGGGCACCGTGAGAGCTGCCCCTCGGGCTCGCGCAGCCCGTGCCCCCGCTGCCGCGGGGGCGGCGAGGGGGGAACAAAGCAAGCTCTTCGTCGCCCGCCTTGACGGCCAGTACGCATCCTTTACGAGCATTTTACACACTGGGCTCCAGGGACCTTGGCGTCCTCGAGACGTTTCAAAAAGAAGCCGTTCCGTGGCCCAACAATTCGGGGCAAATGTGAAGAGGTGCCTGTCTTCAGGACAGGACGTCTCAGAGGCTTTCCTATCATCATGAGCTCGCATCTCTCCGGAAGGGGGTGGAGTAGTTGACATCTTTGATGACGACAATTTCTTCCTTGATTATGTGCTTCCGGGCCGGGGGACACGGTTTGTGCGACCGTGGTGCACACAGATTAGCTGCCTCACGTCGGTTACAATGCCTTCAAGTAATGTCCTGTCCGTGCCTATTGCTGCGATCACTCCAGAAAAATGGTAAACAATGTGTTGACCTCCGATCCCCAGCCCTGACACCAGCCACCGGAGGAGGGTGGCAGGGACGCGAAGTAGAAGAAGAGAGATGTCGGGACAGCCAGCCGGTGCGTGTGACCTGACCTCCCACCGCCTCAGGAGGTGTGATGGGCTCCATCTGACCCCACAAGAGCCGGGCTCTTGTCCTGCCACCAGCGAGGGCTTTGTCTGACCGCTTCCCCAGCGCCCCCTCCTGTCGCGGTGCCACGGAAGGCGCGACACAAACACGGACAGCGGACCCAGGTGGAGCAGCGGCTGTCAGGTGTGGCGCTGAGTGTTTCATCAGTGCCGTCTCCCAGATTTTACAGACGACACACAGGCGTGGACAACCGAAGCAGCGTGTCCCACCAAACTCAGGCCGGCCTGGCTGGAGAGCCCGCGGTTCTGGGCACCACGCACACCTGACCAGGTCCGGAGGGAAACCTGGAACACTCTTGCGAAGAGCAGGTAGAGACGAGCAGCTCACAGCGGTTCGCAGCCTGGTCCTTCCACTGTCTACACACAGGCGCTCCGCCCCCCCGGCCGCCCTCACGGCCTCCACAGTCCCGCCGTCTGGGAGGCCCCGGGCTCAGGGCACTCAGCGGGTTTTCTCCCGGGGGCCCCTCCTTCACGTAAACTAAGGCATCGGTTGGTTGGAACACAGAGGCCTTTCAAAGCTGTTCTGCCTAAGGCTCTGCCACGAGGTCAGTTTTACCACATTCAAAATATTTTCCTCCGCATTCAATAGGTAATAGGACCATTCCCCATATTTACACTTAATTTTTTTTAGACGTCTCCATATTAAAATCACAAATACAGCCCTGGCCGGTGGGGCTCAGTGGGTTGGAGTGTCATCCCGTAAACCAGAAGGTCGCGGGTTCAATACCTGGTCAGGGCACAAGCCTGGATTAAAAGTCTGGTCCCCGGTCAGGGCGTGCATGAGAGACAACCAATCGATGTTTCTCTCTCACCTTGATGGTTTTTTTCCTCTCTCTTCCTCCCTTCTCATGTCCTCAGGTGAGGATTAAAATAAATACATAAACACATTTATTTGTAAAACTACAAACGTGCACGCGCTCCGATGTACTCCTGCCCTGGCGAGCCCTGCCCACTGCACACCCGTGAGAGAGTCTGGGCTCTGCAACCACTCAGGCGAAGTTCTACGCAAAGCGTTGACAGAGCCACGGAAGACTAATCAGAGTTTCCTGGAACAAATTTCCTCCCCAAGGACACCCCCAGCACGGCTTTTTGTCCTGGGCACTTCCACTCCGAGAACCGGGAGCCCTGCCCGACCTCTCAGTTCCTGGAAGTCACTGGAAAATCTCATCTCCAAACCGAACGCTCTGCTACAGGAACACGGAACAGAAACGCCCGCGGGAGAAAGACAGCGGGAGGGAAGTGGAATCTCTGCAGCTGGGTGACTGCGGGGAGAGGACAGAGGTGACACTGTGAAAGCGGTCAGTGCTGGAAACACGGCAGGAGAAACGCCTGCCGCAGAAGGACGCCCCTCCAGTCCTGGGCCAGGTGGCCGGAGGTGGAACAGACCACCGGGCAGAGGGAGGGTCGTCTCCGCGGGCCGGCCGCCCACGTGGAGGGCCAGGCCGCAGTAGAGACCGTCCTTGCTCTTGGGGAACACATAGTGAACCGTTAAGGGCAAAGGGCACGATGTGTCGGGGGAGACTATGCGATGAACCTCAAAAATGGACGGATCTGGACGTAGGCTCTTAGGAAGTTCTTTGTGCTGTGCTTGAAATTTTGAAATGTCCTGTTGGCTTGGAATTATCTCAAACTCAAACGTTAACGATAAAAGCCAACAGGGACTATCGTCTTCATCTCTCTGCTGCTTCTTGGGCTCAGCGGGCCTTGGCCACATTTGCGCAATGAGAGCAGGGTGAGCCGGGTGGGGGTGCCGGGACCCCGGGACCCCGGGACCCGTGGTTCTTCCTGCCCCACCGAAGGGGTCGTCTGCCTTTCCACATGCGTCACACGGGGAGCAGGCAGCCTGCTGCTGTCAGCATCTGCGTAAAGCCGCGTCCCCTGCAGTCCAGCCTATGGCGTGCGGTGGCAGGCTGCCAGGGAGGGCCGGCGCAGAGAGACGCTACCAGGCGGGCAGGTCCCGGGAGGTCAGGGCGCCACGGCGACAGCCATCTTTGACGCTCCCCCTTCCTCCCTCAGAAGTCCCCGGTGTTTTCAGAGAACAGAGCTTCTCCTAGGCAGGAGCTGCCTTACGTTCGCCTTCAGGCCCCAGGCAGGGAGGCGCTGAGCACCCACTGCGCAAACATCCTGCCCCCAGGGCACCGGGCCAGCCTGGCGCGCACCTGGACGGGGCAGGGCCGAAGGAGGGCGTCCTGCCCGGCCCAGCTGCCTTGGGCAGCGGCCGCCTGCCCACGCTGCCTTCCAGCAGCACTCCTCTCACGACTGGGGCTGGTGTCCGCGACAACTGTCTGCAAGGAAACGCCCGTGTGGTGAACCCAATGCGTCTGCTTTGTCGCCCGCCACCCCTGCGGCCGACGATGCCCACGCCCACGTGAGGAAACATCTCCACCGACCGCCACCCCCGCGCTCGTGCCACCGGAACCACAGGACAAAGTGAGAAGAAGCTCACTTGTCTGCTTCCAGAGAACAGGGCGTCCACAGCGCTGCCCGGACAGAAGGGAAAAGGCCAGCAGGGAGGCTCCGTGGGCGGCCACAGTCAAGGCAGCCAGGCTTCCTCCTGTGGCCCGGAGCAGTGACCCGCCCCGGCCACCCTCCTCGGGCACCTTCCTGCCCAGGAGGCTGCAGACTCACCTCAAGTACTGAGCTGTGAAAGTCAGGTTCCCTTTGGGAAAAGCAGGAGACTCCCATTCTAGAATGTTCTTGAAATTAACCGAATTCATTCTGACGTTTTCAGGAGGAGGTACCATGCCTAATGCTGTAAAAAGAAAGGGAAATAGCTTGCAACTTTTCTTCTCAAAAAGGTCTCCTGAGGAAATGACCAGATCCGACCCTCGGGCTCCCCAGGGCTCCGTGTCGTCCGTGGGCCCGCGGGCGGGGAGAGGAGGCTGGGGGTGGGGGGGGAGGGCCGGCGGAGGGCAGGCACGCTCCAGAGGCCTGAACCCCGGGCTTTCTGACGCCTTTGCGGCGGGGGAGCAGGACCGGCCTCTGGCCCTGACCTGAGCACCTGATGCCGACAGGGGGCCGGGGGAAGGGAGAGCAAGGGCCCCCTTTTAGCCGGGTCCGATCTGGGGTGTCGGCGGGTACCCGTGAGCCGTGGCAGGGTCAGCGGGGTGCAGAGCCTGAGGTGCTGCAGGCAGGTCTGGGTTAGAGGTGGAAATTGCTTTAAGACGTGTCAGCAGGAAAGGTCACACATACACAAAGGCAGAAGGATGAGTACGAAAATCTGTCCTTGGCCGGCCCGGCACCCGCTCGTGCCCATGGAGACAGACATCGGCGTCATGGGCCCGTGGCTGCTGGTCAGCAACCGGGGGTCTGCTGATGTCCCCCCGAGGGACGGAGCAGGGGAGGGGAGGGCCGGGCATGGACGGGCCAAGCCCTGGCCGAGCTGGCGGGCCAAGCGGGACAGCTGAGGGGAGGAGCGCGCCCGGGAGCGGGCCCTGGCGCCGGCGGCCAACGGTCAGAGGAAGGAGGATCCGTCGCCCTCTAAACCTGGGCCGGCAGCTCCAAGGAGGGTGAGGCTGAGGGTCCCTATGACTTTCCTCAAATTTAGTTTTAAATCCTGGCTCAAGAGGTCACATCACTTCCTACCTCCCTCAGAGACCTTCTTTCTCCCAGGCCATCGGCCACTCCCCAAGGGGCTGCAGATGACAGCAGACTGGACCCGACCCATGGCCACAGGGCGGGGCCTCTGCAGGCTCAAGAGAGCACCTGGGCCCCCATGACGCATCAGCACCTGAGTCCTGAAGGGGACCCCGCTGGCTACTTTCCCACCAGACCGGCCAGAGGGACACGGGGACAGACCTCAGAGCTGTCCTCACACCTGGAGCGATGGCGCCCCACTCTGACCTCACCTCTGGCCAGTCAGCTCCCAGCAGCACGAGCCCGCACCCCGAGCCCCAGTGCGTGCGACTTCGCCCTGTGGAATCGGTCACTACTCGCCCCGTTCTCCGGGATGGCGCCCCTTATGATCAAATAGCCAGTCTCTCTCCCCGGCAGGTCTGGGGCCTGGTGTCCGGCTTGCCAGCCGTGGAGGACGGACTTTCTGTACTGTCACAGTGGCAGGAAAGGGTTCCCTGGCTTCAGAGCCCGGAAGCCACCAGAGCTTGAAGCTGACGCAGAAGAACTCAGATGTTGGGGTGCTGAGCAGGCCCCGGCGGCCTACCGAGCATTGGTTCCTTCCAAGGGGCCTACGGGGTTCGCTCCGGGTGGCCCTTGGGTCTTCGCTGCCCGACGTCCCCCCACTCCCTGGGTCCCAAGCGCGCCCGTAAGGACGCCCTGGCGGGTCCAGGTGCCCGTGCAGGGGGCCAGGCCGGAGGAGGACGAGCCCAAGCCCCGGGACCGCCCGGCCGGGACCTTTCGTCGCTGGGCCTTACCTGACACCACGAGGCAGCTGCCCAGCCAGCTCCGGAGGCTGCGCGCCATGCCCGCGCAGGGAGCCCCGAGGGCGCTGGGGGCGGCGGGCACACGACCCCAAGTCCCCTTTGCGCCGCGAGACACCTGCCGGCCCACCGCGGCGGCCGCTTCCGGGAACGGCCGGGGCGGGGCGTGCAGGGGGGCGGGGCGCGCGGGGGCGGACGGGGACCTCGGCACTCCCTCCGCGGGAGTGGAGAACGCCGATAGCAGAACAGGTCGCTCAACTGCAACGCGCTGTCCCGCCACGCGCGCCTTGAAAGGGGCCCTCGAGTTAAACACAGGCCAGCGCGTCCCGGAGGTGCCACCTGGCTGGTGACGCGTGGAGGCGGGGTCTCCTGGCACCGGCCAGCGCTGTGCTCCCCGCAGCCGGCGCCCGGGGTCCCCGCCCAGCTCATCAGCTGATTTTAAAGAACTCCTTTAGCAACTCCAGCTCACCGCTTCCCCTCCAGGGACGAACGACGCAAACCCAAGCCGCTGACTCGGCAATGGGCAGTGATTCGTTTCTGCCGGGAATTTCCTTTTTAAACCTTCGCAGCGGGCAGGCTGGAAACCCCAGAGGGCCCGGCGCTGGGGCACGCCCCCTGCGCGCTCGGCCCGCGGCGGCGCGGCTGCTCCGCGCGCGCCCGCCGGCCAGCGGCCGCTCCCCAGTCGTTCCCGCGTTTGCGTTAGGAAGGTTCTGTGGAGCCTCCACCCGTCACACAAAATTTAAACACACACACGTACACGCTCTGCCAGGAAAGATCGCTCCAGAAATCTTTCAGGATAGGACAGCCGCACTTGGAGAAGTGAGCTGTGTGGACGAGGAAGTCCCTTTCTTCCAGGATTGAATCAGAGGAACACCTGTGTAGCACGACCTGTTCTTTGCGTTTAGAGCGATTATGAAATTAACCGATTCAAAGTCCCTGAACTTACATAGTTTTTGTTTTTCCCACCTGTGAATGGACCCGAAACAAGGTCTGAGAACTCAGCTTCTGGGGCGAGGGGCCCAAGCCAGGGACCCCTCGTTCACCCTGCGACGCTCGCTGCAGCACCTCCGCCGGAGCCCTGAGTCCCGCGTGCTCCCTAGGGTGTTGGAGGTTCCCTAGTCCAGTTTGCTTATTTCACAAGTAAAGACACGGCTCCCACAGGCTAAGCCATGTGCTCAGGGTCCCACGGTGGAACGGACTCAGAGGAACGGGGCCCCCCTGCGCTGTTTGCTCCTGATATTCTGGACCCCAACCTGCAACTCACAGGAGCTGCAGGCACGTGTAGGATACTGGGCATCAGCACACACAGCACTTCTTAAATTCCTAAAGATGACCCCCAGGCATTTGAGGCCTTACCTCTTCTGAAGACCTTGAGGCAGTTTTGCATTTTTGTTGCCTCACTTGCATTTTAAACAATCTTAAAGCAGAGCAGGAAGGTCCTCTCCCTGCGCGCAGAGGCGGAGACCCGTGCCTGAGCCCATCTTCCTCGCCCGGACAGAGGCTGGAAGAGGGGCTGTTGGATTCCAGTGTCCACGACAGAGGAGGGCACTTGGAAGGTGGCTCTATCTCGGTGTGACCGAGCGCAGGGCTGGCTACCTGCCGCGCCGGAAGCCAATACTCGAGAGGCAGGTGCTGAGGTAAAGGAAAGTGGTTTATTTTCAGGTCAAAGCCCACCACCTCCCTGGCTCTCAGAGGACGCAGAGCTTTTACAAGGAGGGAGAGGAGGCAGAACAGAGACCACAGGAGGGGGCGGCGAAGTTCGCTACGTGCAGAACTGCCGCGTCCAGTCCGGTCCCGCAGCTGATGGTCCCGTGTGCGTCGTCCTGGCTCTGAAGGTCAGCAGGTCTTCTGGAGCTGGGATGCCTGAAGGTCGGAGTCCTACGATTTTTACACAAACGCACTGCTCGCCCGCAAGCCACAGGACAGGCAGAGCCAGCACTTAAAGAACTGACGCCGGAAGGCTGGCCGGGGCGGGTGCGCTTCCCTGAGGTCACAACTTCCCACTGTGACACCAGTGGGACTTCTGCTTTCCGCGCGTCCCGCTCCGGGAGCCCGCCCTCCCCCCTTCCGGAGCCCGCGGGGGCGCGGCTGGCCGTGCGCTCCGGCTGCGAACCCTGCGGCCGTCCGTGTCCCCCCTGCACGCCCACCCTCGGCCTCGCCAGTGACCTCCCAGCACCACGGCCCACCCCGCGAAGCCCCAGGGAACCCTGCTCCTTCGGGAAGCGGAGGCAGACACGTTATCAATGTGTGGCCACTGGACAGGCATTTTCCCTTCAAGGCCTGTCACTTGGAACACTGAAGAGCCCACACCATGACGCTGGGTTTCCTGCCGCCCTTCCCCCATCCTGGGAATGGCATCGGTGACGTCACGAGGGGGAGGGGGCACCCTGCCCCCCGAGAACCCCTGCGCACCACAGGAGCGCCCAGGGGACAGGGTGTGGGGGACAGGCAGCTGCCAGTGAATCCAATGTTTGGGGGTTCATCTCATTAAATAACCATCCCCGATGTTGCCATTGTCAACGACTGACTCGGAAGTGTCACTTCTATCAGAAGGAGACTCTTCAAACCACGGGCCCTGCCCAGAGGAGCTGGGGAAGGCCGGCTGGGCGCCCTGTCCACTGGCCACTGGAAGGCCTGTCCCCATTTCGTCGGGATCACCCAGGTCGATGGTGTCTTCTGGAAGAGAGGGCACCAGGGGAACCTCTGTGTTGCTGTCGTCCAGGACCCTCACAAACACAGAGGTCAAGTCCACGTTGAAGAGCACCTTGTCCGCAGGGCTCTCGGCACAGCTGCTGTCGTCGCTGAACGGCGGGCGCGCCGGCGGGGCCCCCCAGCCCTCGGAGGCCCCGCTGGCGCAGTCAGCGCACCAGGACCTGGGCTCTGGCGCCGTCAGGGGCCGGGCCTCCACCTCCGGCTCGGACGGCTCGTCCTCCCAGGCGTCGGGGTCCCCATCGTCCTCCGGGCAGGCTGAGCCGCCGGACGCCGGGTGCGGAGGCCTGATGGCGAGGCCGTGCAGGGTGTAACCCCCTGCGCTGGCTCGGGCCGCTGTCTCATTGTCGCTGTCACTGTCGTCGTCATAGTTGTAATCCCACACCTTCTTCTTCCTGTGGACGTGAATGACCTCCAACGTGGCCACTGCTTCCAAGGGCGGCAGCTCAGGGACCACATAGGCTGGCTGGTTACAAAAGTTCTTTAGGGCGCAGCGGGGGGTGCGGGTGCGGGGAGACAGAGAGAGAGAGAGAGAGAGAGAGAGAGAGAGAGAGAGTCTGTCAGTTGTTTGTCCATCTTCTGACATCGTAAAACATGAGCTGGACCGCGCCCTGGTGAGGCGGGGGCTGGGGGCAGCAACGATCGTAGCCAACAGTTCGGGAGCGTTTGCTGTCGACAGGCTCTGCTCTGAGTACCTGGCACATTCACTTCACCCGCACAACCGACCGCAGGAGGAAGCGGGCTTCCTAGTCTCGCCCAGACTCCGCAGGGGAGAGAGACTGGCAGGCGAAGAAACCAGCCCAGGGTTCAGGAACAGGTGGAGGAGCCCAGCTTTCAAACCAGGCAGGCAGCCTGCAGCCCAGGCCACGTTCTGGCCCAACCCGCGCCCCCCAGCCCCGCTGCTGTGCTGGTTCAGGCCGGACAGGCGGCCATGCTGGAGGGTGTCAGGGAACTATGGGCGAGGAGGGACTGGGGGAGCCGACGGCATGGGGCGGGGTTGGCGGGGTGAGCTAAGGAGACCACAGGCAGGCCTGTTTCCCGTCGCCAGGTGACACGGGGCCGGCCACGCCGAGGGTGGTCACGAGAGCCCTTGCACAGGCCCGGAACTGTGGTCGGCATCCCCGGCCCCCGCTCGCCACGGCCCGCCCGGGCTGCTCCATCGGACAGACCGGCACCCCCTGTTCTCCCCAGACCCAGCCTTGGGGGCGGGGGGTGGGTATCTTCTATTGGGGTGCCCGTCTTTTTTCTTACTGCTTCATGGGAGCTCTCATACGATCCGCATGCTAATCATTTGTCGATTATTGGTTACGTGTATTTTCCGCCAGTCTGTGGTTTTAGCATTCTACTCTCTTTATGATGGTATTTGAGAAAAGGAAATTCTTAATTTTAATGTACAAAAATGTATCAGTGTTCCTCCCTATGGTGTTTGCTTTTTGTGTCTGAGAATCTTCCTTATTCCCAAAGCCACACAGAATCTCCTATGCTGCCTTCTAACCCATGAACAGCTGTGCCTTTTACACTGCGGTGTGGATGAAACGCAGCAGAGCGTCCGCACCTCCTCAGGCACCGCCCAGTGCCATGTTCAAATCCCAGGGGTAGTTAAAATCTCCAAAAGTACACCCACCCACCCAGCCAGCAACCCCCCCAACCCCCCCAACCCAGTAAAAACGACAAGAAAAAGAAGCGTGCAAGTATAATCACTTCTTTTGGGATATTTAAAAATGCAGCTGTTAAAAAATCAGGTTAGGTGAGTCAGATCAAACATAAAAAATAAGATATTTCTGAGTGAAAAACTGCAGAGCTACTACAGAAGGAACGCAGTGGGGTAGGGGAGATGACCAATGAGGGACAAGACAAGACAGGGGGAGGCCTTAGATGTGCACGAGGGGCCCAGGCTCGGGGGGCCGAGTCACGGCCCAAACAGGAGCTCGGAGCCTTGGGCGGCACAGAGAGGACGCGAAGACCATGCGGCTGGTTTCGCGGACAGTGAAGGCCACACAAAGGAGAGCAAGCGCGGGGGCTGTTACACAGGCGGAACGGACGAAAGCGGTAGAAGCCCCGGACCGTCGCCAGCCGCGCTCCGGCGTGAGGCGCACCCCGATGTGCCACTGCCGGCGTCACCAGTGACTCCTTTATCTTTTCACAGGACAGATGCTCTCTGGGTGCATGTTCCACCAGGGTCACCAGAATAAAAAGATATCTGTATAAAAACGTTCACTGAGTTATTCTTGATGGCCAAGAAAGAAAAAGAAACAAGAAAGAAATTGATTGAAAAGCAGGGAAACGATTAGGGGAAAGACGATACATTCACACCAATGGAACACTAAGCGATCACTAGAATAACATGCAGACGAAGCAGAAAAGGAACAACATAAAGTGCAAGAGCCCCGTTGGTAAGGGAGGAGGAGGAGCCACCGCGCTGACATGCTTCGGTGTTTTGAGAAAACGGAGTTTTCTGCTGTGCAAACATTCCAGGAGAGAATAAAAATCCTTAAGTTAAAATAAGAAATAAAAACAGAACTGAAAAAAAGAACAAAACACTACCTACCAGCACTTTGGGCGACACGTTTCGTAAGCAAATGTAACCGACCCGCTTCAGGAGCCCCACGGTGCTTACGGACACGACCGCCACCAGGAGCACAGTGATCAGCGCTCCTATTCTGGCGGGTTCCGAGGACTCTGTGGGTGGAAAATTAAATGCCTGCTTCAGAATAAATCCGGCAGGGGGCTGCAGGTGGGAATACATGCCCGTGGGTCTGGTGGGGAAGGAGACATCAAAGGAGCAACGGCTAGGGAAACTATTGTCAGGTACAAAAATAAAAATAGAAAGGAATCCAAGGATGCATTTTTTAAAAAATGATAAACATGAGCGATTTGGTTTTTCTAATCATGTTCTACGACAGCACTGTTCATTCAATACGGTGGCCATCAGCCACAGGTGGCGACTTAAAGTCAATGGACCCAGACGGAAGACACCTCTCGTTTCTGAGTCGAAGGGCCCCTGAAGGCGGGCCGCGCTGCCGCCGCTGCCAACCCAGTGCCCCAGGGGCAGGCGCTGGCATGAAGGAAAGGGGTTTATTTTCAGGTGCCGGCCACCTGGGTTCCAGGGGTGCTGACCCAGAGGCACCTGTTGCCAGTGGTGCCCTCCGGGTTCCTTCCTCTGCGTCCTCATCCGTGAAACAGGATGAATCTCTGCCAGCTAGGGTGGTTGTGAAGATTGTTAAAAGCACCAGCCAAAACGGAGTCATTTTTACTAAGCCACTGGCGCCAGACCCAAACTTAGTGGCTAACCTAACCGCAGCCTGTCCCAGGGGTCGAAGCTAAAGCCTGTCATCGGCCTGCAGCTCCCTGGGCCGCCCAGGGAGGCAGAGCCCTGGCGCTCGCCACCGCTCTCCGGACGCCTCAGTCCCCTCCGCCCCCTTCCCGCCTAGGAAACCATCCCATTTTGGACCCTTCCAGTTGCCAGGTGGGATGCAGCTGGATTCAGGAATCGCTTCAGAAAGCCAAGTGGATCCTCACGTTTACCTGATTGCATTTTGTCCTTTACCATCATCCACTTGGGGTTTTATTAGTGGGATGCTGTGGTTTGTAGTAAGAACTGCACACGCGGGCTGGGACCGAATCCTTGGCCTGGAGCTCGGGCGACTGTGCCACGCGATGGGAGCCGAGGCGACGAAAGGATGTCTTTCAGAGTTCACCACAAGCCCCTTTCGACGACGAGGGAGTTGATGAAATGAACGCCCTTCGCCAAGTTCCAAGGTGGGGGGCTGGTTGCCGGGGGAACCAACCACGTGACAAGAAGGGTGGGAACTTTCCGCCCCACCTCCAGGGACGTGCTGGACGTTGAATCATTGGCCAAAGACTGAATCAGCCATGCCCACGTGAAAACTCCTCCTGACGGGGCTCAGAGAGCTGTGGGGTGAACAGTGGAAGGGCAGGGCGCGGCGGGGGCGCGGGGGTTCTCTGCGGAGGGCCGCAAGCGCGAGCCCCTCCCCCACGCCGTGCCCAGGCTGTCGGGGGCGCTTCCGCCTGGCTGCTCCTGAGCTGGATCTTTTTATACAAACCAGGAATCTAGTAGGTAAACTGGTTTCCTGCGTCCTGTGAGTCATTCTAGCAGGTTATCAACCCTGAGGGGCGCTTCTGGGGATCTCCGACTCACAGAGGGTGGGGCTGAGCCTCAGACGACAGCATGGACTGTGACTGGCATTTGAGGCGGGGGGCTGTCTTGTGGGACTAAGGCTCTCACCGGTGGGATCTGGCACTGTCTCCAGGTACTGGGTTGGCCAAAAAGTCCACTTGCTTTGTTTTATTTTTCCATAAAATAAGACATCTTATTTGGCTATTTAGAGTATGTCGGCTGTCTCCCGCTGTTGGCTTCCAGTGGGGAGAGGCCAGGGGCGCTGCTGAACATCTTCCGATGCACGAACCCCACGGCAAAGAGTTATTTGGCCAAAATGTCAGTAGGACCAAGACTTTGCAAACCACTTTTGATACGTTCAATCAGTCCCAGCACCTTCTCCAAACACTGCACAGATCTTCTTCTGTGTTTCAGTTCCATTTTTACCTCTCTCGAAATCATAAAGCACGACACACCAAACATGTCATGTATTTTCTTCCATCTTCAATGTTAAAATGGCTGCACCAAAATTCACCAATTTTGATAAGTTTTTTTTAAACGCACGCTGATAGGACAGCTGTCACAATACAATCTAACAAAACTGTTTCGAATGAAGTTAAAGACAGCTAAGCGCTACTAGAGCCGCCGTACAGAGAGGACGGAACGGACGGTGCGGCCGACCCGAGGGTCAGGACTGACTGAAACCGCGGGGCACTAAGCTGCCGCCAGAGTGCTGCTTGGTGCAGGGGAGGCGGCGAAGCCAAGCGTTTGGAGAAAGATGTGCTCTCTGCGTGGAGAGGAAAAACATTTCCTCTGTTCAATTGGTTATGTAATTTTGTTTACAAGCTCATGAAGCATTAATAACAATAATAAAACGTGTGGCCTTTGTTCCCCGTTCTTGGCAAAGAACTTTTGGTCCCTTGGAATGTCTTGAATAACAAGTAACGTAACTCTCTCTGGGGCCACCTGCGTTTAGGCTGAGGAGGTGGCTGAAGGGATGGGGGCTGGTCCCCAGAAAAACCAAGGTGTGATAGGGGGTTGGAACGTACAGCCCCTCATCTTGAACTCTAGGGAGGGGGAAGGGGCTGCAGATGAGCCAATCGCCAGTGGCCAATGATTTAATCAATTGCAGCCACATAATGAAACCCAATAAAAATGCTGGACAGCAAGGCTCGGGGGCTTCCAGGTCACTGGGCCTATCGAAGTGCTGAGAGGGCGGAGCACACTGGCACTGAGGGGACAGAGCCCCTGCGGCTGGGACCTTTCCAGGCCACGAGCCTCTCCGCCTGGCTGGTCCCTGGCCCCCTCTCTGTAACCGGGAATCTGAAGTCCAGGCCTTCCCGGAGCTCTACGAGGAGCTTCAGGGAACTGGGAGCTCGGACGGGACATCGGGAACCTGTGCATTCGCAGCCGCGCCAGACAGCAGCTGGGGCAGCCTGCGGACGGGGACTGAGACCGGCACCGGCTGGGGGGCTGTCTCGCGGGACTGAGCCCTTATCCTGTGGGGTCCGCACGAGCGCCTCGTGCCCCCCCCCCCCCCCGGCGGTGTCCCAGGACTGCTGCCAGGCAGGACAGGTGTGTGGCAGTCTGTTTAGGGTTTGTGTTTTTGTTAGAGCTACTGGCATAAAGAATCTGCGCACGGTTTTGTGTTGGCCCTTATTTAAGTGCCATGAGGAAAATAACTGAAGCTAAAGGTTGAAGATGCTTTTTCCTGTAACACTGGTCCGGGCACCCCTCACCCCAGGAGCCCTGGCGAGTACAATCCCGCCCAGCGCGCCCGCGCGGCGGGGCCCCCCAGGAAGCCACGCCCTCCCGCGCCCTCCGGCTCGGCAGGCCTCCTGCATTTTCCCATCGCGACTGCGGAGACCCTGTCGCCAGGGCCAGGAAGTCCTGAAGGGCTTCTTAGGGGGAGAGTGTCATAGCTTTTCACCTCTGGTCACACAGCTGGGGACCTAGTGACTTTCTGAGAAAATAAGCAACAGCAGCTGTTCCTCATCCTGACTGTTCTCACTGCCAAGTTCTCTGTGCGGAGGAAGGCGTGGGGATCGCATTGTGCGCTCCTCTGAGGCCTTTGAGACAGGAGGGCTGTCAGCGTCGTCAGCAACGCCCTCAGCCACACGGGCGCGTCCTCGTGCCTCTGAGCCCCAGCCAGCCTTCCCGAGAGCCAGGCCCGATCGCCGAACGGCGCCCAGCCTGCCCCCCGGACGCCGGTGCTGCACCTGCTCCCGCATCCCCGCCTCCTTGCCTGACGCCCCAGCTCAGGGGGGCGCCGAGCTGAACTTGCCCCCGACTTCCTGGAATACAAGCGATTCCACAGCAGGAGGACTCTGACCTTAAAAGGCAGATATCTGAATGTCCCCATTGTGTGGCGGCAGGGTTGTGACTCGCCACTTTGTGGAGACCGGCCCCAAGAAGGCACCTCTGCTCGGCACTCCCCGACCTTCCGATTCTTTTCTTTACACAGAGCTCCCCTCGGAGTAAAAGCAAAACGTGAATTCTCAAAAACCGTCCTACCTGAGTCCCGGGCAGGCGGAAGGCGGGTGCACTTCCAGGGAGACCTATTTATTCCCAAGTTCCTGGAATCGAAGTAAACAGATACACAGTAGCTTGTGTTTGGCATTAACTTGTCGAGGACGTAAGTGAAATTTCCATTGGTGGCTTCATTTATTTGGAGATCATGCTGTAAAAATAAGCAAAATAATCAGGAAGACTTGGCGTAGAATTTTATTAAGAGGCAGGCCCTAAGACTGCCTTTGGGGATTTGTCCTCAAACCTTGAAAGGAGATAGGAAGATCAGAGGCTTGGCAAGGAGTATTTATAAGGCACTTGGGGCAAGCAATTTATCACAGAGCTACACGTACATATACACATCTTTAAATCACAAAATCTCACTTCACAAACATTGAGAAAAAGTCCCAAAGGGGAACAAAGGTCTCCACGAAGTCACTTTTGGAAGCTCATCCTATCTTGCAGTAAGGTTATCTTGTTTCATAAAAGGTAGGTATCTACTTTACATTTCAGAACGTGCTTTCAATTAATATGAACTCACTGGTCTATCAAAACAGTCTGCAAAGCAGACATTATCCCCACTCTCCAGGTGAGCAAGCTCTGGCTCAGAGTGGTTCCATAACTTCCCCAGGGCCGCACAGCCTGCCTGTGGCAGAACCGAGGCTGACGTCTGGCCCCTGTCTTCTGCCCCGAGGCCCCTTGCCTCTTCTTTCCCAGGTAGCTCTGTGCCACTTGGGGAGCAGAAAGATGTGCTGAAGGTTCTTTTCTATAACGACTTAGAGTTTTCAGAGTACATTCTTGCTAGTCTGATACATAACGATTTCTAGCAGCTCATCTACAGCCTTCTACAGTAATGCTTTTCTGCAAGTTTCTATTCAGAAGAAGGAAGAATTATTTAAAGGGAAACTGACACACTGACAACTCAGCATGGCCAATGAGTGATGGAGGCGAAAAAGGGGACAGAAGCCAACCGGAGCCTGGGCGGGGGCGGGGGGGGGGAGAGGAGCGACCCCCCCCCCCCCCCCCCGCCCCCGCCCCGCAGCGGACGGGTGTTTAAGGGCTGCCCAGCCTCATGCAACCTGCGGGCTCCCCTCGGGGTGCGCGTGCGCGGCTGTGTGCAGTGCGGCCCCGCCCACTCGCCTCAGTGGCCTCCTCCCAGCTGAGGCCAAGCCCTTCCCCTGCGCAGCACATCCCACCCACTCTCTGCAGGGACCCTGCTCCAGCACGAACATTCCCTCAGCACACTAACAGGCTATCACTTTTCCCCACCTTCAAAGGCCTCTCCCTTGACCCCACTTTCTCCTGCAGGTCCCACAGCGCCCTCTCCTTCTTTCCAAAACTCCTGAGACGCGTTCGCTCGCAGCTGCCTCTGGCTTCTCTCCTCCTTCCCACTCCTGCACCCAGGTCTCGGCCAAAGCCCCCCACATCAAAGTCACCCTGACTCCCCAGCTCCTAAAGCTAACACTCAACGCCAAGTCCTCTTCTGACTCGTCTCATTTGTAGCATTTGACATGCTGGATCCTGCTATCCTTCTGGAACTTTCTTCTCTCGGCTGGGAGGACCTCACTCTCATCCTTAGTTTCCTTTGCTCTTTCCTCCTCCTCTGCTAATCCCCGCATCTGGGAGCCCTTCAGGGCACTGTCTCTGGACCCCGCCCCCCCCCCGCAGGACCACTCCCGGGTGACCTCGCCTGCTCTCGGGACGGACCAGGGTCTGGTCTGGACACTCTGGCCAGCAGCCCCCGGGACGTGTCTCTTGCTGGCAGCTTCGCCCTGAACTCCAGACACAGCGCGTGCTGCTCCTGCTCGATGTCCCCTCCCGGTGCCTCACAGCAGCTCAGAGGCAAGGTGTCCCGCACCACGCTGCGCCCCCCATTCACCCGCAGGCCCATCTTAACCACGCTTCTTCGGTGTCTTCTTAAAAATGACAAAAATAAAAGAAATAATGGCCTTTCTTATGAACTAGCTTAATTTTATTTAAAAATGAGAGGAATCATAGTTAATCTTTACTGACGTCTTGCTATGCAGTAGGAGTAGCGCTAAATGCTTTACCAAAATATACCCACTTATCCTCAAAATCCCTGTGAAGTAGGTATTATTATCCCTCACTTTGCAGATGAGGGAGCTCAAGCTGGGAGAACATACTCTCTCAGTTTAAAAAAGGGAGAAGGAGTTCGGGTTAATGATGACACATTCCCATGTCAAACGACCAGGCCAGCTGAAGTCCTATCGCAGGGAAAATGTTACCCACAGAACTGACTGTTCAGATTGCCCTCCTCGCCTCCATTCAGCTGTACACTTATGATTTACATGTTTTTCTACAGAGAAGTTCAACAAAAGGTTCATGGTTAAAAACAAAATGCGCAACTTAAAGTTCTATCTGTGTCAAGTCTAGAGACTTTAATAGGAAGCCGCCTATGTATGAGTCATGTTCGCGACTGCTCTTTATTCCTTAACCTTGTTTTACCTTGGTTTCTCAGCTATTTTCACTGTTATTTTTCTGCCTTTTATGTATTTATCTTTTTAGGCTGAAACTCAATGCCATTTGCAAATAAAACAGAGAATAAAAATTATAAACATATTTGACTTACAGAATCCCCAACCATAGTTACCATCTAAGTATAGAAGTAGTTATTCATAACTTTCATAAAAACCACTCACATAATTCTAGATTATAGCAGAGCTCCTGGTAGATGAGAGCAAGTACTGATCAGACAGAATAGCGATTGGGTCGTCAGGTCTTGTTGCTTCTTTTCTCAGGATGGTTTCCAAACTCTCTCTTAACCCTCTCCTCTTCTTATCGCTGCCACAGTTTTGGGCCTTACCGTTTATTGCCCAGGCTACTGTGGTTAAGTCTGAATTCTGCCCAGTTTCTCTCATTAAGTTTTGAATGGCCTACTTCTCAAACATCAATGTAATTCACTGACGATCACCTACTTTCTCTTTGTTTATATTTACACAATTTTTCCATAATTATTTCCCTAACCAATGTGTCAACTGATTTGAAAACCTCCCTTTGTCCAAACATGCATAACCAAAAAGGATCGGTGAATATTCTAGACGGGGCAATGTTCACCGGTGTCCTATGGGCCGTGAGGAACTACCCCAGTCTCTTATCTCAAATGCCTCTACTAACTACAGACGAGGAAACATTGCTTCTCTGTACAATAACCCCCTGAGCTGTACGTCTCTCTCCTCATCTGCCTTGTAACTTGGCGTTCCCAACGGCTTCTTTCTCTCTCACTAACACCCTGGGCCATTTTTTAAAAGGTGCTGGAATATACTACAGTCTGTCTCTCTTTCAACCTCAATCCTTCTCTTCTTTTTGGTAACTTTCATAATACTACATTCTCGAAGTTCTCACTCTTTTGTTTTCTTTCTTACTGGTGTATATTATATGTAGTCTACATTTTTCTTATTAGCTTTATTAGTCCACATTTTTTCCTTATTAGTCCACATTATTAGTCTACATTATATTTCTACATTACGTATAGAAATATATCCTTCCTGAAAAATTTTGACCTTTACAGATAAAGTGAAAGTGCGCCTTCCCAACTAACTTTCACTTAGTACTTAGTCTGTTCTAAGTTTGGTCCTTAGTGACCTTTCCTTCCCTCCATTAAGATAATTTTTTCTTTAACTTACCGAGTTTAGAGAGAGAGGGGAAGAGGGGCAGAGAGAGAGAGGGAGGGAGGAACACCGACGTGTTATTCCCCTTCCTGGTGCATTGGTTGCTGATTCTTGCGGGGGCCCGGATGGGCGATGGAACGCGCAGCCTTGGCGCATCGGGACGACCCTCCGACAGGCAGCGCTGCCGGGCCCCCATTTTTGGACACTTACCCTCTTCACAATCCCCTCTGACTGCTCTTCGATTAAAAGCAGTAGGTGAGATCCTCCCGCCGTGAGTATCTTGGGCAGGGCCTGGGGCAGTTCCAGCATCACGTTGATGTGGTCCTTGAAACCAGCGATCTCAAACCGTGGTGGTTCCATTGTTACTGCTCAGAAAACAGAGTCAGTGACAAACCCCACGAGAGCCCACCCCTGCTTCCGAGTGCGGATGGGGCTCGGTTCGGCCCTGCCGTCCACCTGCCCATGGTCCTCCTTCAGGCGTGGGTTTTGTTTATTTCTTTGGAAGCATTCTTTTCCTTCCTTTTTTTTCAATTGCTGAGATACTGGGACCAACAAAAGCGACCGGCATAATATTACCACAGGAAACAGAGGACAGATTTTGGGAGGGAAGTCCGCACTTTTCTAGTTTTCAGGCTATGTTCTAAATACAAAACTAAAAATGACGTCTTTCCACGTTACAATAATAATACCCAACCCCTGGAGAAATCTCAGAAAATAGAGACAATTGTTCCTGAATGTGGTTAACCACGTTGTCTCTGCTGGATTGTGTACACATGCACAGGCAAATATAAACTGAACCAGTGCACACAAGCAGTTCACACGCACACCCCACCCCCAAGCTAAAAGCAAACCACTGCTCCCCCGCACCGTTAACATGGTGTACGTTTTCATTTATTTCATAAATAGATGAAGGCATAGTTATCTACATCGAGATAACAATGGCAAACAATGGCTTATGGGCTGAATTTCTGCACAGCCTGAAAGTTGAGAATGGTCTTTATTTCTGAAAGGGTCGTACATAAAGGAAGCCTATGTCACAGACACCGCATGTGGGCCAGAGTCCAAAGTGGCTTCCCTCTGGCCCTTTACAGGAAGTCGGCAGCCCCCGACCTTCGTAATCTTTCCCAGCTGATTCTATTCCACCCAGCGGCTGCATCACAGTCTGAAGGACTTACTGGAACTTTGCTGAAAAGAACCTGCGTATCAGGGGGGATCCTCGGAGTGAAACCTTTGTTTTTGCCCTTGATCCCTTCAGGACAAACTGCTAAAGAGGAACTCGGGGTTCGGGCAGGTATGTGTTAAGGTTTTTAATACGTCCTGCAAACACCTTCAGAAAGACGGGGCCAATATGCGCCCTATGTTTCCTCTAAACCTGGGTATTGACATATTTTTAATACTTGCCATTTGGAGCCTTGGAAATTGATACCTCGTTTTAACTGTGACTGCCTCTCCTGAGCGATCTGGATGCCGTGGGCCACGAGCTGGGCTCGTCCCTTTTCGAGGTACGCACGCACAGACAGGCCTGGCTGCCACTGCCGCTGCCACTGGGCTGGGCACGCCCCCCGGTTTCGACCAAGGGCTGAAACCTAGGCTTTCTCTTGGAAACAGACTGCACATTGGGACACTGGAAAAGTGATGGGGTCCAGCTACGGGCCACAGCCGGACACGGCGGGCAGCCGACGGCAGCCGCGGGGCGGAGGCGGCCATGGGGTGGGGCGTCGCTCCGGGAGGCCGCCTTCCCCCAGGCGCGCCCCAGGGCAGATGGCCACCAGGGCGCAGTCTCGGGGAGGGCGGGCTGTGGCCTTAAGGAAAACACCGGCCGGACGAGCAGCGACAGCTGACACCAGGCCCTGGGGCCTGCCTCCCCACGCCCTCCCAGGCTGGAAAACATCCGACCAGCAGCAGGTCCCAGCGCCTGAACGGCTGGCTCCCACGGACCAGAGCGATCATTGCGCAGTGCAGGGGACCCCCGCCACTGTCAGGCCAGGGTGGCAGAGACATAGCGATGGCCTTGCGGGCCATCGGTTGTGGTGACAAACAGAGATCAACTCACTGTCTGTGTCTGGAAAGATGCTGCCTGAACAATTGACCAGCGTGGCATTCCCCCGGGACCCGACGAGCCTCAGGTGGTACATCTCGGACATCTCTGCCCACACGTGCGTGACGTCACAGGACGGCCTGGTGATGTTGGCGCAGTGCTGAACAACCTCCATGTCTTTTCTGTGGGATGGGGAAAGAAACGGTCAAAGGAAAACTCTGGCCCTTGTGGAATAAGGACCCATCAAGGGCACGGCCCACTTCCTCCTCCCTCGGCGGCTCTGGGTGAGTCACTGGGACAAACCATCAGACCCAGCGCTCTGTTTAAAACCCAACCCCTGACCTGACCCCTGACCCTCCCCGCCCCCCTTGCCTGCGCAGTTTCAGTCAGACCATTGACCACCACCTGCCACATTTGATCTCGGTTTGTGTACCGATGTCTGCGCCCACCTGCAGAATGTCCCGCCCGCAGGGCAGGACCCTGGTTCATGGCTGACCCCGGGGTGCAGGAGGTGCTCAGTGAATACATGCTGGACGAGTGGGCACACGAACCCTAGGCGTTCACGGTGGAGGTCCCAGAGCTCATTGCCTCCGCAGGACAATCGCGAGTGCCCCCCAGACCCCGTCTCTCTCTGGCTGAGGACCCCATGGCCCGCCCTGGGTCAGCCTGTGTCGCACGGGACAGCACAGACATCTGCTGTCTCCAGCCTCAGAAGGGCACGTGAGTGGCCCATGTGACTACCAAGTGCAGAGAGAAACTTAAGACTTTAGCGGGCACCACTTTGGCTGGTGTGGCTCAGTTGGTTGGAGCATCCTCCTGTGACCAAAAGATTGTGGGTTCAATCCCCCATCTGGGTGAGAGGCCATCGCTTGCCGTTTCTCTCTCTGAAAGCAATGAAAAAAATGTCCTCGGTGGGGGGTAGGGAGGTGGGCAGATAAAATGGAAAAAAAAAAGACTCCAGCAGGCAGCAGGGAGGAGCTCAAAGGCCACGCGGGTCAGCCAGCAGCACTAACAGCTCCAGGCCAAGCAAACACAAAGCTCAGGGACACCCTGAGGCGCTCCTGCAGCTGACGAGGGTGCATGTCCCACCTGGGAAGAAGGGCGCCAGGGCCGGCACCGTCCACGTCGCCCTCAGCGCGGGTGTCGGCACCACAGTGGAAGGGCCAGAGCAGAGAGCCTGAGCCCTCTGCCAGGCTCCCTGCTGCGGCCCAGCCGGGTCTCGGACCCAGTCTGGGCTGGGACGTTCTCTCAGGGGACGTTTGTCTCCCTGAGCAAAGGAAAGGGAACACAAACCATCAACCCGGTCACCGGCCCTTTGGACTCCTGTCCTCAGAAAACAGCTGACTTTTAAACGTTCGGACTTACTGAATTAGAGGAATACCTGCGAACACCATTCACAATCATGATTTTGCTTCTGAGGCTTTGAGCTGTAGGAGCTGGCTTTGATTGTAACTATGAGCTCTTCCAAAAACAGCCTTGAGCTGTTAAAGTACTCCATTGAACTACCCAAGGCTTTGTGTGTGGTCTTCGGATTTTTAAGTCTCTGAATAAAATATACAGCGGGCGGCGCGGGGGCGGGGCTCTCTCCCTTGTAAGACCTCCCGCCCCCACTCCCACACACCAGAAAGAGAACACATTTAGCCAGAGAAAATGAAACGCCCAGCAAACCTCGTGTCTGCATGCCATAACGTATAGTGAGTTGGTTCAACAGAGTGGTTTCTTAATTCCCATGACAAAATCAGCTGGAAATTTCTTAACACCACGTTGAAAACGCAAGCATCTATTGAAAATTTTAAAGGGAACAAGGGAAAAAGTAAACAAACACTGGCATCCGGAACCAAAGGCTGCTCTGGGCCCCTCTGCAGACCTCCCCTTGGGGCCGGAGCCCCCGCTCCCAGCAAAGAGCCCCCCCCCCACCCCCGCACCAGCCCAGCGTTCCTGGACCCACAGGGAGGCGATGCCTCTTCGACATGGGGAAATGGACTAACACAATGAATGGCTGGGCCGCACAGGGTCAGAACGGGGCGGGCGGCTCAGGAGGCGGGGCGATCAGCACCGCGTAGCAAGACGAGGCTCACCGCTCTCCCGCGAGGGGCGCTGGCTCCCACCCCGCAGGGCGTCCCCTCCTCTCCGCTCCCCTCCCAGCCCTCCCTCTGCAGCTCGGCCCGCCCACTGCCAGCCTGTCCTCCCTGGGATCCCCGACTGCACTCTTGCCCCGCTCAAGAGGGGCGGGGGAGGACGAGGCGTGCCAGTGGGCCCTGATGGGCGGCAGCCCCCCAACGACGCCGAGGGAGGTGCCACAGAGCCAGGCCACGGCCCCGCCGCGGAGCAGCGGAGGAACCTGCTGCTGGCAGCCGGGAGGCCGGCCCGCCAGAGCGCCTCCGAAGCTCGCTGGCCTGGCGGTGGCCAGCGCTCCACTCCCCAGCGCTCATCGCAGGCCTGGACGCGGACCGAACCCAGGCAAGAAGTTCACTTTAAAAAGGTATCTTCCTTTCTCTGGTCCCAGGTAGTGAATCAGGGGTAGAAGGATGCACATTAAAGGGAAATTATTTTGGGGTCATTTTTGTTTGGCATAACCTGTGTCTCCTCATTCTTCTATTAAGGGGTTTAAATGGCACATCCTTTTAAGGGGTTTTAAAATGATCTGTAGCGTTCATTTCTCATAATACTGAGACACATGGGAAAACCAGAATTGGCTGATTCTGTCTCGTTTTACAGAGAAACTATTTGAGAAAAAGATTTCAAACGAAATGGGCAACAGATCTGGGATTGGAAATATCAAATTTCCCACACTTTAGACTTCTGAATGGTCACCCCACACTCTTATATAAAATTTAGTCAAGCCAAGAAAAATCTCTTACCAGGCAAAGTGTGGCACATACCAAACATGAGGCCGATATACCCTAAAAAGAAGAAAAACACGTTAGACAAGCAATGCTTTCTCTGAGATCAATTCACAATTGCTGCTCTGAGTCTGGTATTCTTCACACCCGTGTGTCCATTTTGAATTAAGACTGCCTGTGCAAAAAAAAAAAAAAAAAAAATATCAAGTCGATGCTCTTAGAAGGCGGACCCTGGTATTGGCAGTGGCTCATCCAGGGACTTCGTCCTGAGTGGACCCCCGACGAGGCCCGCGTGGGAGCCGATACTGACGACAAGGCCTGGCTGGCAGAGGAAGTGTCCCGAGAAGCAGTGCCATGCCTGGAAAACACTCCGAATGTGAATAAGCATGTTGTTAAGTGACAAACCTTAAGGACGAGTCTCGGAAAGGCCAGTGGAGGAGGGAGAGGCTGGTGATGGGGAGCGGGCACTGGGGTGGGGGAGGGGCTGCCCCGCCTCGTGGGGGGAGGCCCTGGATGTCAGCTGTGCCTGTGCTGCGCAGATGGTCCCGCCTGGGAGATGTCCCACGCGTGACCACGGAACAGAGGACCCAGCGAGGCTAGAACAGAATCGGCACAAAGGCAGAGAAACGGCACGAACACAGCCACGGGAAGAACTCAGCGATACATGAACCGTGAAGCCGAAGCTCAGGAAGGGCTTTAGTCTGACAGCGTTGGTAGGAGACGGGCTTGGCCTCTCTGCAAACAAGAGCAGGCGACCCAGTCCATCCCGGGTCAGAGCGAGGGTATGAAGAGAAGTGTCTCCGCAAACGACACAGGAAGGCACTCTCCATCCTTACTGAACCGTAAATTATTCTTGTTTATTTGGCCCTCCACCCCCCCGCTAAAATTAACAGTAGATCAGGAACCAATGCTGACTCCAAAGCATCAGCGCAGATCCCCTGCCCACGCCCCACCCGGCCCCGGGCCTCGGGCAGCCTGCCACGGGGTCTCAGCTGGCTGTCCCCCACAAGGGCTGTCGGTGACGGTGACGTCACAGGCTTGCTCCTACAGGGGCAATGATAAAAAGCGACACTCACCCAGGAGACACAAGTGCCATCGTTCAATCCCACCGGCGCCGGGGCCCCGAAGCATCTTTGTTATTTCATGTGTCCTTCTTTGCTTTCACATCTGAAAGGAAGTCCGCATCGGGTGAGGCGTCCACTGAGAACAGGCACAGACAAGACCGTGGACGGCTGGCAGCGGAGGCCGGGACGCGGTGCTCATCCCCGCACCCGGAGCTCGCCGGCCGCCTCGGGGAGGGATTTAAATGTACCGTTGAACAGTGACACAGTCTTCGGGTTCCAAAGCTTTAAACATACAAAAAGGAAATGAAGAGACTTGCTCCCTTTAGAGAACTACTTTTATTACTATTTTTAGTGAGTCCTTCAGAATATCTTTATGCATAAGCAAAAACAAACCAGTATTATTTCTCCTGTTTTTCTATACAGGAGATGGCATATATACGTTCCCTGTCTTACTCTGCTTTTTCCACTTAAACACATATTTGGGAGATCTTTCTACATTAGCACCAAAGAGAATCTCCTCGTTGTTGCTGTTTTAAACAGCGTTTAAAGGGCTGTGACCTCGGCCAGCCGCGGCCAGCCCACGGTGGCTGTGCAGGGATGGGGCTGAGGGCTCAGTGAGGGACTCAGCACTATCTTCCCTCCCTTCTCGTGGGGCTCCACGCGGGGTCAGAGAACCAGGACGCAGCCCTGGCTGGTGTGGCTCAGAGGACTGAGCGCCGGCCTGCGAACCAAAGGGTCGCCGGTTCAATTCCCAGTCAGGGCACAGGCCTGGGTTGCGGGCCACGTCCCAGATTGGGCGACGCGTGAGAGGCAACCACACATCGACAGTCCTCTCCCTCTCTCCCTGCCTTCCCCTCTCTCAATAAATAAATAAATAAATAAATAACTCTTAAAAAAAAAAAAAAGCTGGTGGCTGTACCCATGGATGACAGGGTGCCAGGGCAAAGTAAAGGGTGAGGAAGGTGGAGGCGGGTCCGGGAGGGCAGACGGGAGGCTGCGCCGAGGGCTGTGCGGCTTCGATTCCTGCGGAAAAGGCCACAGCTCCGCCCCAGCGGCTGCCCACAGGCTCCTCCCTGCAGCCTCCTCCCTGAGGGAGCCCGCAAGCGTGGGGACTTTCTAAGATTCAAATTTGTAAATGAGAAACCGTTCTCTTATTCTGAGCCGGATCGAGCATGTCTTCGCATCTCTAAGCGCTAATTCTCGTTAACTGTCTTTTTGTACCTTTGCCCAGTTTTCTATCGAGTTCCTGCTCTTTTCTCACTGGTTTGCAGGGGCTTTTTAAGTTTATTTACCGGTGTGCAGGAGGGAGCCTGGCCATTTGTGAAGAGTCACCTCTTTGGTCCCCTTTCCTTGCCACTTGCCCTTTGATTTGCATATGCTGGAGTTTGGTTTTTTTACCACGCGGAAGTTTCTGAGTTTTGTATTTTCATGTTTAAAGGAATTTTCTTTCTTAGTGTCCACATTTCGAGTCCAAAAGTATTCCTCCGCCCGAGGTGAGAAAGGGGTTCTTCTCCCCCTCGCAGCTTTTGTCTCCGCCCCAATGTTGGGGCTCTGCGACACTGGGGTCCTTCAGTCCCCACGCTGGGGCAGCGCCAGCTTCTCAGGGACAGTGATAGAACACCCCTCAGGGTATTCTGGAGGAATTCAGGAGGTCCTGGGTCAGAATTGCCACCGGTTTGCAAGCACCACACCCCCTTGAGCTGTCCAGGCGCCTCTGCCCAGAGCTGATCCCAGAACTTGGTACCCCCTGGGGCACCCAGGGACGTCATTGCCCTGTCCCTCCCCAGCAGAGGGCGTGCACGGCGGTGGGCATTCCTCGGGTGCTGGGCGCACCTAGACTGTGGAATGCCACACTGGGGGGAACCCCTTCCACCTGACATCTGCCCTGGGGCCTGTGCCCCTGCTGTTCTTTCTGAGGGCGGTGCCTCTGCCTTGGCTCAGCTTCCGCAGCAGGGAAACGCGCACGCACATGCACACACGCATGTCTGGTAACGAGAGTCTTGCTTGCTGGGAAAATCAAATTTCTCCTCTTGGCATGCTGCCTAGGACTGCTCAGGAGGCTCCTTAAGTCTCTCCCGGATGACAAGGAGATCGGCTCTCTGCCACGTCTGCTGCCAGGGCCGGCTTTGCTCCCCCGGGCCTGCGGTGCAGGGGTCCCCCACACACGGGGTTCACTGCTCCCTGGCGGCCGCTGTGAGAGTCTGAATAACTATCCCTGCACTGGTCTTCTGTTAGTTAAGTCTGATGGGACAATGGAGCCCTGAGCCCTGGGCTGGGAGCCTCAGCTCACTCGGTCTCGCTCCCCCGGCCCCCTACCCTGTCCTCTGCAGGGTGACGGTCCCACTCACGCCTGCTGACTACCGTGGGTGGCTGCTGGGTCTCGCTGGAGAGTGCCACGCTGCCTCGACGCCTTCCCGGTGTGCATGCAGGGAGGGGGGAGCTGCCCCGCCCTGCTTCCCCCAGGGGTGGTCCGTCTGCGGGGGGTGAGATCAGGGCAGCCCCGAGGACCCCAGCGTGGCGTGGCGGGGAGCAGAGGGTTAGAGACGCAGGGACGCGGTCCATATGCTGTGGCCTGGGGTGGCAGGTCCTTGGAGAGGCGAGACTTGGCTTCCCCAGAGCTGACCCCAGGCTGGGGAGCGGGTGGCTCGCAGGAGGGGGATCTGGCATCCTTCTGGCCCAAGTGTGCGTGTGCTCAGAGTTGCTGTGCAGGGGCCTGGGGACCTGCGGGGGCTGCCCTGGACCTGGTGTCCCTGTGCCTGAGGGGGTGCCCCTGGGCTGGCTGTGCGCCCAGGACCCTCTCTCCCCGCGTCTGGCTTCAGTGTGCGCCCTCCAGCTGGCTGTGCCGTGACTGCCGCCTGGGGCGCTCGGTGACGCCCACAGGAACCGCATGTGCCACGCCTGCAGCCAGCTCTGGCTCTGCCCCATGGAAGGCAGGTTGGTAAAACTCAGGCCAATCGTCTAAAATTTTATTTTTTAACTTGGAACAACATTAAGTAGCAAATTAAAAATGACAAGTTGAGACCCAGAGACTGTGGAAGAAAAGAAACAGCTTTCTATCTGAGTACCTCCAGTGATATTGTTTCCTGGGAAGTGGCATTTTCTTTTGGCCTCTGGACCATTTTTGCTCCATTTCCGTACCATTTCCTTCATCCCAGTTTTGCTGGCATTTGCTGTCCCATGTGCTGGCTTCTCCACCCCGGGGGGCCCAGCATCCTGCGGCCTAGGGGTGCCGCCTCTCCCTCCCTGCGCGGAGTCTTTCCCACGGGCCTGGTCTCGGCCCCTTTCCGTCTGCGCTCCCCGGGCTTCGGCCCAGCCTGTCCTCGGTGAACACACGCTTATTTCCAGCCGTGCCTGTTCCCTGCCGTCTCTGCCTTTCGGCTGCGACTGTGTCCCCACGGCCTCCCGTGGAGTCCCTGGGGCCCTCCATCTCCCTTTCCATCTCAGTTTTCACATTTTCTCATCCTTGAGCTCATCCGATGGAGTTATTTTTATCAAGTTGGTGCAGGACCTAAGGCTACGGGAAGGAATTTCCTGCTCTTCCAAGTCCATGCTTCCTTCTTAGGAAGACTCCTTGCAACCACCCCCTTCCTTCCCTGTCCCTCCTCTCCCCGCACCGTTTCTGTTCGCCTGCTCATATCTGGACAGGACGTGGTCACCGTGACACCGCGGAGTGAAATCCTGACCTCTCCTCGTAAGTGTGCCTGATGCCAGCTCGTTCAGAGGACCGGCGCCGAGAGGGGGCAGCCAGGGAGCACACAGCTGCCGGAACCCCTGGGCCCTGCGGCCCCCTCGCCCTGGGCAGGCCGGGCAGGCCTCCGTGGGCAGGTGCCAGCGGGGGTGGGGGGTGGGGGGAAGACGAGTCCGCACGGGTCTGGGGGTGGGCCTCCTGACCCTGCTGCGGGCTTTTCCAGCTCGGTCAGCCCAGTGGACTTGCGTCATCTCCCTGACCTCTGACCTCTGTCAGAAAAGGAAAAAGCTACATGCGCCAAGACTCATTTTCTTTTTTCCTACTCATGAGGCAGTACTTTCATTTTTGTTGACTCCCTAGTATAGTTTCTGGTGATCAGGTGCATGCAAATTTTAAATATTTTTAAAAGCCTCAAAATTAAAGCAACAACAGCGGCAATGCTTATGAACACCTCTCCCATGTCCTGCCCACAGAGCCCTGGCGGGCCTATTCGTAAGGAAACCAGGTGCACGCATTTTCCTGCTGGCTGTGGAGGACGGTGGCCGACGGTGGCCACAGTGGCTCGAACCCGCCCCCGCCCCTGCCCCCATCCTTCTCTTCGGTGCTCTCCTTTCTGCCGTGCTCCGCACCCGGCTTCGGCCAGCCCGCCCTCCTATCCGTGGGCTCATCCGCGGTCCCTCCTCAACTGCACTGGACCCATTTCCTTCCTCCACGTGCTGCAAGGCCTCAGGAACAGGCCTGGTCAGGCTCTGCTCTCCTCAGGCTGGATTTCCCGCTTTGTAAAGGGCCCATTTCCTTCTGACGTTTGAACATCTTGGAAACCACAGTGCTCCCTCCAGGAGCACCCTCAAGCGGGACCCGCAGCAGTTTTTCTGACTTGGTCACGTAAAATCAAAGTGCATCTGATCATGCAACAGCATTTAAGATTCGGTACAATGTAATATGCAAGCCATGTTAACAATGTAATATGCAAACTCTTCGATAGTTTGAAGGTTTATAAATGTATAAGTGTAACGGGAAAAGGAGTCTAATATGGCTCTGTGGGTGCAAGTGGGAGGAATGGAATATTTTTTAATAAAAGTTTCACTTCTAAGACCTCTTATGGTTCTCCTAACTTTTTTCTAAGGCAAATTATTACACTTTTTTTGTCAAACCATAAGAACCAAATTTCAGGCAGATTTTCTTTAACTTTCAAATAAATACATGAGAAACGTTAGAGGAACTACAGATAAGAATAAAAGAGCCATGCAGATTTTTGATGCTCTAAAATCAAGAAACAACTTGTGAACTACAGAACTTTAAAGTTCAAGTCACTTCCTGGGACCAGCAGGTCAAACCTCACCGAGCACTCGAGGCCCGGCAAGCCTCCCAGACGCAAGCCTCCCAGACGCAAGCCTCCCAGATGTTCTCTCTGCATTTGGGTGAGGACCGCGCCTGCCCCCTTCCCTCCAGAAGTCTGTGTGGTGGGGAGGACACTGAGAGGGCCAGCCAAGGTGCGGGTCCGCGTGGCCGGTGGAGCTCCACACAAAGGGGAGGGGGCAGGGCGGGCCTCTCCTCACCTGCGCCCCACCTCCCCAGCTCAGAGCTGACGCTGGGCAGGTCACACTGGTTTCTAAGATTTCTTGCAGAAAAGAAAGGCAAGGAAATGGAAGGAGGCGGGACATCTAGCGATTTCCAGTAAAGCCACTGCTAAATCTGTGACTTGATTGCCAAACTCCTAACTTGGTTTAACTGGTTGATTTGCTCGGGGCTGAAACGCAGGCGCCAGCTCGCACCCAGTCCCTCCCCGGCTCCCGACCCGAGAGGGGGTCCACTCCTCTGCCTCGCCCCCTCCAGCTTCCAAAAGACAGATCTGGCGGGACGTGGGGCACTGGGCCCCCGTCCCTCTGCGCTCCTCTGTCGCACGGCTCACGCGCCGCAGCGGCCACCGGCCAGCGCCCGGGCTCCCGGGCATCCCTGCTGGGCGACGGCGCTCGTCCCAGCGCGACAGGAGCGGAGCGCGGCGCCGCGCGGGGACGGGGCTTCGGAAGAGGAAGGCGCTCGGCGAGGGATTCCGGGAAGCGGCCGCGGGGACGCGCGTCTGCTGGGCGGCCACCGCACCGGCCAGCCCTTCCCGCCTCCCCGCCATCTCGCGCTCCGCGCGTTACCTTGGCGGTGTGTCGCCGCTCGGTCCGGGACACCGGCCGCGACCCCATCCCCTGCAGCCGGGCTCCGGCGGCGCCCTCCCGCACCCGGGTCCGTGCGCCGCGCGAGATGAGCTCGCAGTCAGCCGTGCGGGGACGATCCCTCCCGTGGGCGCGTCCTGGAGGCTCCCGTGGGCTGGCGGCCCAGCTCCGTCCTCCGGTCCTCCTCGCGGAAACACGACCGAGTGCCCAGCGCGGGTGCGCGCGCCGAGCGCCCGCCTCCTCCCGGGTCGAAGGCGGGGCGGGCCGTGGGCGGGGTCGCGGATCGCGGAACTCGCGGACGTTTGCCGAGTGGGCCCCGAGCGCCTGTGCACAGCCGCCTCGGCCCACCCCCGCCGTAGGGGGAGGAAGACGGGCTCTTGGGCTGTTCTGTTTCCTGCGATACCTTCCGGGCCAGAACAGTGCCTGGCAGTCACTTTATTCAATAAAAAATGTGTTCAATGAATGGATGGGAAGAATCAACATCCCGTACAGTGTACTACCCAAAGCAGTCTGCAGCTTCCAGGCAATCCCTGTCAAAATACCGGTGACACTTCCCACAGAATTAGAAAGTTATTAGGAACCACAGAAGACCCCAAATAGCCACAGCAACCTTGAGAAAGAACAGAAGGATAAAGTTGGCGGTATCCTGCCACTTGATATCAGACTACAAGTCTGTAATAACTAGAACAAAATGGTGCTGGCATAAAAACATATATGCAGGGGGACGCAAAAAAAAAAAAAAAACAAACAAACCCTGGAATTTATTTATTTAAAAAAATGTGTATTTATTCTTACATGTTTAAACCTCAGTCACCTTCCAAGTCCTCTCCATTTGATGCAATACACCAATCGAGGTGTTTAGTCTACTGCTCAAATCAGTTTTGAACTCGTCGATGTCGATTCCTTTTAGTGCTTCTGCTTTTTCTTGTGTCATCTCTTCCACACGGGCAAAACGTTTCCCTTTGAGGACGTTTTTCGTCTGAGATCGGATGAACAGGGAGGGTGGGGCACAGGGCTCCTGCCGTTTTTGGTCAAAAACTGCTGAACACTCAGCGAGGTGTGGGCAGGTGCGCTCGTAAATCATGCATCATGAAACGAGCAAACGTGTTGAAAGAGTCTTCAAAAAAATTCACTGAAGCCCAACGCAGCCTCTCACAACAACACCAGCTGGTGCACGGACACAAATGGGCCCCTGGAACACTCACCCAGCGGGGGAAGCCCGGACTGCAAGGGGTCTGCCTTCCAGAGGATAGTTCTGGTTTCCTTGGGTCCCCGCTTGTTCATAGGTAAATGGAACAGAATGAGAGCTCAGAATAAACTGATGCCGATCTGATCCATGAATGGATCACAAAGGAGGCAAGAACATACAATGTGGTAAAAACAATCTCCTCAATACATGGTGTCGGGAAAACTGGACAGATACACACAAAAGAATGAAGTGACCATTTTTTTTTACACCATAAACAAGAATAAACTTACAATGAATTACTTAAATGTAACCATAAAACTCCTTGAAGAAAACGTAAGCAGTAATCTCTCTGACATCATTTTTGGTAATAATTTTTTTTTATATGACTTCTTGGGTAAGGGAAAAAAAGGAAAAAAGACATCAAACTAAAAAGTTCTCCCATAGCAAAGGAAACCACGAACAAAATAACAGAACAACCCACTGACAAGAAGATATTCGCCAATGATGCATTTGATAAGGGGTTAATATCCAGCGTACAGAACGAAGTCATACAACTCAACACCAACACCACAATAACAAAACACCAACAAAAACCAACCCACTTAAAAAGTGGGCGGAGGACCTGAACAGGCACTTCTCTAAAGAGGACATACAGATGGCCAATAGACATATGAGAAGACGTTCAACGTCACTAATCATCAGAGAAATGTGAACTAGAACCACAATGAGATATCGCCCCATACCTGTCGGAATGGCTGGCAGCAGGTACGGGCGAGACTGTGGAGAAAAGGGGCCACTCGTGCCCTGTTGGTGGGCACGCAGGCTGGTGCAGCCGCTGTGGAAAACAGTGCGGCGTTTCCTCAAAAAATTAAAAATGGAATTGCCTATGACCCAGAGATTCCACTTCTGGGCATATATCCAAGGAAATTTTAAACACTAATTCAAAAGAATATACGCATCCCCACGTTCATTGCAGCATTACTTACAATGGCCAAGATTTGGAAGCAGCCCAAGTGCCTATCAGTAGAGGAGTGGATAAAACAGCTGTGGTCCATTCACACAATGCAATACTGTTCAGCCCTAAAAAAGAAGGAAACCTGACCTTTTGCGACAGCGTGGATAGACCTGGAGAACACTATGCTCAGTGAAATAGACCAGTCCCAGAAAGACAAGTACCATGTGACGTCACTCATATGTAGAATTTAATGAACAAAATAAACGAACAAACGAAATAGAAGCAGACTCATAGAGACAGAGAACAGACTGACCGCTGTCAGAGGGGAGGGGCCGCTGGGAGGCTGGGTGAAAAAGGTGAGGGAATTAAACAGCAAAAAAACACACCCCAAAACCACACAGACACAGACAATAGTATGGGGATCCCCAGAGGGAAGTAGAAAAGGGGATAAATGGTGACGGAAGGAGACTGGACTTGGGCTGGTGAACACACAGTACAATGTACAGATGATGTGTTATAGGGTCGTACGCCCAAAACCGTATAATTTTATTAACCAATGTCTCCCAAGTAAATTCAGTTAGAAAGAGCATTTTAGTTTTGGGAGAAACTGCCACACCGTCCTCCAAAGTGGCTGTACCAGTTTACATTCCCATGAGCCATGCATGAGAGTTTTGACTGCTCCACCTGCTCCCCGGCATTGAGTGCCATCAGTGTTTTGGATTTTAGACATTCTAATCGATGCGCGGGAGTATCTCCTCGTTGTTTTAATGGGAGGTTATCAGGCAAGTTCCTGGTCTGTCGAGAATGAGCCGGTAGGGAGTGATTAGTTGATGATGGGGAGAGAGGAGATGCAGGCAGCAGCAAAGGCACTAGGAGGGAGGGAATCCGGAATCCTGGCGGGGCTGGTCTTAGGTAGCAGCCGGGACCTTTTGTTCTCTAGGAAGGAGAAAGGAAGGCAGGAAGAGTGTGAATTGGAGGTGGAAGGTCAGAGTGTGTCCGGCAGCTCTGTGCAGGAAGCACGTGGCAGAGCCCTCCTCTGGGTGTGACGTGAGCAGGAAGAAGGGTCAGGAGGGAGGCTTGTGGAGAAAGGACAGTCCAGGCGTGGAATGCTCCCGTGCATGGGACTTCATCGGGGCAGATCGCCCCGCGGTGGCGTTCGTGGCTGCAGCGGGTCCCGACGCGGGTTTGATGCTTCCCTCGGGGCCCGCACGCCCCTGTGGCAAGGCTCTCTGGCGGGGTCCGCAGGCCAGACGGAGAGCTGCGTCTAGTCTCAACTCTGGCACGAACGTTTCCTGGGCGAGGTTTACCTCGGAGGCCCAGTGCTTCGCCTGCGCCTCTTCTTGGTGGGCCCCGGGTTCCCACCGTGTGAGGAGGTGGGGCCGGTTCCTCCTCTGAGGTGCCACCTGAGAAACTGGAAAGCAAAAGCGTAGCCTGGACTCAATTAACATCTGCCGAAAGGGGAAGTGGGGCCGGGAGGGCCTGCATTTTCCCCTTCAGCTGCAGCCTCCAGCCTCGGCCACACCCAGCCTCAACTTGGGGACTAAGCCGCATGCACGTGACCCTCTGTGCTCGCCTGGTCCTCAAAATCACTCCTTTCTTTCCTTTTTCAGCCTCTTTTTAAACCTCCATCTCCCATGCCCTCACCCCACTAGACCTCTTACAGGGAAGGCGCCAGGCGCCCGCGGCCACTGCGGTCCTACAGAGCCCAGACCAGGCTGGAAGCAAACACAGGTCAGGGCGCCTGCCACTACGAAGGCTGAAGCTTGAGAGGCAGGTGCTGATGTAGAGGAAAGAGGTTTATTTTCAGGTGCCAGCCAATGGGAACCTGGGGGCCTCAGGCTTCAAAGCCCCCCTCCTGGGAAGGTGGGGGACTCACGTCTCAAAGCCCCTCTCCCCCTCTCAGTGCAGGCAGAGGCTTTTATAAGAAGGGAGAGGGGATGGAACAAAGAGATCAGAGGAGGGGATTGCAAAGTCCTCTCTGCACAGAGGAGCCCAGTGAACTCCCATAAAGTGAGCGGTGGTCCGGGGTCGCATCTTCGCAGTGGAGTCACCTGGTTTCACGCCCTCCCAGCTCCACGTCACCCTGGCTTGGCTCTGTGGACAAAGGCCAGCGAATCTCCCGGAACTGGGACGGCTGAAGGTCCGAGTCTGCATCTTGCATTCAGTTCCTAGGGTTCTTCCGCCGATGTGCTGTTTATCTACAAGCTGCCTGGTGGTCAGAGTCCGCACTTCCAGAAACGATGTCGAGAGAAGGGTTGGGTGGGTTACAATCCCCACCATTATAATTTTACACCGTTACAAATCCCCACTGGCAGTTTTTCATCCATGTTTTTTGGAAGTTAGATGGTTGTAGCCAAAACACTTCAGAAAACTAGAAAAATTCAGGAGCCACTCTAGTTCATAAATGAAAAATAAAATGTCACAATTTACTGAATTAGAGTTTAATGTTCATATGTATAATAGATTCTATTGAAACACCATTTTTTGGTCTTGAAATCACCCTCATTTTTAGCAAGGATACGAATGAAGACCGATTCATTTACTGCATTAAGTCCAGTTTCAATTTGGCCTGATTATTTGCATAAACAAAACAGAAATAGCAATTAATCGTCCAGGCTTCCTGAAATCCACCTTGCTGGAATGTGACAAGGAATGTCTAGATTGCACCTCGAAGGGCAAAGAAATCAAGCCACCCAGTTGCCACCAGGCTTTGCCTGAAATACCTGTAGGTTTGGGTAAACTCCTCACGTTCTTGAGGTCCCAAAATGTCTTGAGATTCTTCCTTGCTATCTCCCCGGAAAGCAGACGTTGCTCCTTACCTGGAAAGCGTGCCATGAACCATATGACTAAGGTGTCAGATCATTTCTTCAAGGGGCTTTTATTGGCTCCAAAGTCAATGTTTATCCCTTAAAGCTCTTTGTTGACATCCAGAGTCTAAGAACGTATCTCTCGGACATGAGATTTCAGTCAAAGTCTTGGCTGATAAATCCACAATTGGAAACTGGAACAGATCAGATTCCTATTGGATTCATGTAAAGAAATATGTTGCCATGAA